GGGGGGGGGGGGGTTTAGTGGGGGGGGGAAAGACGAACCACGAACCACGAGTGAAGCTGCTGCCAAGGAAAGGGTGGAGGACAAGAAGCAGAACTGACAGTAGTTAAGGGGGGGAAGGAGGGCAGGAAGGAGGGCAGGAAGGAGGGGAATGGAATTTGGCGAGGAGCTGAGTAAACGGGGGAATGGACATGGAAAGACGGGGTAACCACACCATGGTGATGCAATAGGAACTTTTTTTAATTGAAGTTGAACAACCGCCGACGACATCCCCAGCAACCACCACCAACTGTTTTGTAGTACTAGTAGTCCAAAGTAATAGGACGTCACTGTCCGGAGTTCCGAAGGCTCAGAGGCCCCCAAAAGAGCTGGGCAAAAGGATGGCGGGAAATATTTTTTTGGCGGTAAAACCACAGCGCCGCCAACTCCTCACCTGCCAGGAGAACGCCACCAGCCGGGCCGGCTCCAACGCCACCACCTTGCACCGAGCCGCGGTGGAGGACAGGAAGGCGGCGCAGCTGATCATGCTGCCTGCCCTCGCAAAGAAGGGAGGGGAGTGCGTGTATGCGCGTGTATGTGTATGTGTGTGTCTCTTGGCTATCCGAGAGAGAGAGAGTGTGTGTGTGTGTGTGCAGATTTTGGAGCACATTAGGTTTGTTGGGCGGAGCCGATTCGGGGAGGATCTGGGATTGGGATTGGTATTGCTAGCAACAGCAGCAGTAGCCAGCAAAGGTTTAAGGAGCGACGTGGCGAGGAGGTAAGGTTCGGTACGTACTGTGTAGCAGCTTCCATACCCACCCTCATAGCCCCCTTCTCACCATAAAACCACCACGGCTTCCACCACCTCCTCGCCCGTTGCCCGTCGCCAACCCGTATCCGCCAGGTCCTGGAACGCTCAAGACGCAAATCCCGAGCCCCACCCACCCCACGAAAACACACCATCATCACCTCCCTCACCTCACCTCCCCCTCCTCCCTACCCTACCCTGCCCTGCCACCTCCTCTCTCTCCTCCCTTCCTCCCTGTCCTCTTTCCTATCTCCACCCCACCCCACCCCACCCCACTCCAGCATGCAAACCCCGTAATCCAACGCACCTGGCGCGATAAATGTGCTCTCCTGCACCTTGGTCGAGCCCGCCCTCAACCCGCCAAGCACCGGCAATCCTGCCGGGCCCGCGGCTCCGGGACCATCTTCCGGGCCCCCCGGCGGACCCGCGGGTCGCTCCGCCAGCAGGTGACCATCCAACAGCAAGTAGAAGCAACCCGACGCCCAATCCACGTCCTGACACACCATACGGAGTTCGGGACAGACGTGGTTTTGCAGGATGACGTGTACACGCATGTGTGTGTGTACATGCGCGCATGTATAGATGCGTGCATCAGAGACAGAAAACGATTATTAAGGACTGGATGTGATGTGATGTGATGTGATGTGATGTGATGTGATGTGATGTGATGTGATGTGATGTGATGTGATGTGATGTATGTGGGTAAGGATTTGAGTAGGGAGCGAGGGAAGGGAAAAGACGTATGAACAGGCGGAAAGAAGTCATTGGCAAGGGGGAAACCGCTACATGCCGTACCTGCAGCAGGCCCCCCGTGGTGAGGGGCAGCTGGGTACCCACTCCGGAGCGAGGATCTGTTTGGGGGAGAGGCAGGGATAAGGGGAAAGAGGGGCATTATGCTTGACATCTCATAACCATGAGAAAACAACGTGCAACTACCGGCCTCCAAGGAACATGAGGGAACGAGCGGCCGGGGGCCGGAGGGAGAGCTACATGCAAAACACACACACACACACTCTGCTCTAGGGGTCCATTTGTCCTTCCCTGACTTACCCCCCGCTCCCCTAGAAGCATCCGCGTGTTGGTGTCCGAGCCCAGCAACTTCCGGGCTTTCGTCAACCCATCTTTTCGTCAACCCCCGACAACATCCCCCCCTGGAACCCATAAACCCCCACCCATAAACCCCACCCATAAACCCCACCCATAAACCCCCACCCATAAACCCCCACCCATAAACCCCACCCATAAACCCCACCCATAACCCCTCACCCATAAACCCCACCCATGACCCCCACCCATAAACCCCCACCCATAAACCCCCACCCATAATGTCGCCCACATGTCCCCATCGAACGCCAGCTCCTCCACGTCGATGACATCCCAGCCAGCCGCCAGACAGGCCCGCTCACCGAGCACAAAGGAGCGACGCAGGTGGGGGGAGCCGCCGGGGTACCACCGGCACACGGGGCCCTGTGCGGAGGAGAGGGGAGGCGGAGGGCGGAGGTCCCGGGGGTCCCGGGGGTTAGGACCCGGACGGGAAACGGTACTTTGGGGAAAAGCGGTACTCCTGGCGGAGCGGAAAGCAACCAGGATGAGGCCGTCATCGTGCCGTCGCCGTCCCGTCACCGTCGTGTTAGGAGTTGAGCTGGGTTAGAGAGGGGTTAACAGGAAGGTGCACGAGACTAGGGATGAGTGGATGTCCCGAACGCGGATGCGAACGTCTCTAAAAAAAGGTCCATTCGCTGACTAGAGGCCGGTGCGGCGGCCAGAGGAAGGCGAGGGAAGCAGGACATTGCGCGATCAACGAAGAATTAATTTCAATTTATTTTCTTAAGAGAAGCTAAAGAGCAGGTTAAGCCAGCATTAAAGCAAAGGGATGAAAGAAGTAGCTGCAGCCAAAGTCGAGGAACCTGCGAGGCATCATCGTCATGCATGCGGCTTAGGGGATTGCGGGCATACCTGCGGCCGAGACCCCTCCTCCTTTGCCGGGGGAGTAAAGCCAAACAAACCGCCGTTGCCGTACCGTTGTCCCGGCAGACCATGGCCGCCGACGCCGACGCGATGACCCTGGGCGCTTGCGGCGGCGGCGGCAGAAGGCCAGGAAGAAGGTAGTGTAGGCTGAGGCGGCAGCGGCGGCGGCGGCACCGCCGCCGCCTCCAGCGGCTGCCTGGTACTAGAGCTAAGTGTTGTGCTAAGTGTTGCGCTACTCGCAATCGTACTCGTGCTGTCGCTGGTGCTGATGCTGCGTGTACTGCACTCGGCGCTGCCGCTACCGATGCGGGCCCCGACGGCGGCGGCGGCACCGCCGCTATCGTGGCGGGCATCTGGTTGCGATAACGACGAGAAACGGTCAGATGCCATCTCCGTTGCACCGGCGGCAGCGCTGCTAGCGGCCCCGGGTAGTCCGCTGGCTGCCACAGGCGAACAGTTGTTCGCTCCAGCAGTGACGACAGGGAAAGGCGCAGCAGGGATGGGGACCTGCGCTGCCGCGCCGGCAGCGGCGCACACTCCCGTCGGCGTCAGCGGCGGCGGCGGCGGTGGAACGTTGGCTAGCAAGGCTGCCGCTGCCGCAGCGGCAGCCAATGTGCTTGGCGCCGGCGGCGGCTCCGGCCGAAGTGGCCCATGGGTCGGCCCGCCGGCGCCACGTGCCTGCGCCGACGCTGCCGCCGAGGCGAACAGCTCATTGAACGTGGGCGCCGAGGACGGGGACTGAATAGGGCCCAGGGAGCCAGTTGCAGCTCCCGCGGCGGTGACACGGGGCGATATGTACGGCCGCGCCGGAGCCTGGGAAAGTGCCGCCGTCGGGGAAAGCATGCTGTCCTGCCGCACGGGTGCCGTACCTGTGGCCGCATTCGTCAACACAGCGTCCTCACCACATAATAACAGCTCTCCCTCCAAGGAGTTTCGCTGCTGCTGTTGCTGCTGCCGTTGCTCCGCCTCCTGCGGCTGCCCTTGCCCAGCCTCCTGCGGCTGCCCATGTGCAACCGTTGTTGCTGCGGCATCCGGCGGTCCTAGGGGCACAGAATTTTCATTGGCGCTTGCGATGGCGACGGCAGCGGCAGCTGCCTGTGCTGCCGCCTGTGCTTTTCGCCGCTTGCTTTTCTTTTTTCCGCTTCCGCCACCGCCTCCACCACTGCCGGTGAACCCGGTGCAGTCACCAGCGAGCGCCTCCGCCGCCTGTACGGTGACCGCCGCCGCCACGGCCGCCTCCAGCTGCACCACCGTAGCCTCCGACACCCGCGCAATGGACAGTGGTGCAGCGGCTGCTGCAGCACTCGTCTCCGCCGCCTCCATCAACGCCGGCGGCGGCGCCTCCGCCAGCCCCGCGACCTGCTCCACCTGCTCTCGCTCATCCATCGCCTGCAGCCCAACGTCCGCCAACGGTAATGTTGGCGGCGACGGCGGCAGGGCATCCGTCTGGGTGCCCTGATCCTGTCCAAACAGATTGGATGGTGTACGGAGCGGCTGGTAGCCCGCGGCGGAGGCGGCGACGGTTGCTGCTGCCGCCGTTTCCGCCGCCAGGGCGCTACCGGGGGGCTTGGGCCTGTAAAGCTGGAGCTGCAGGAAATCCGCCAGGACGAAATGGGCCACACGCCACAGGCGGGCAAGACCCTGGTGGAAGGAAGAGGCAGCCGGGAAAACATCACTGCCGCCAAATCCGGCACGAGGACTAGGATGGGGAGTAAACCGCGGGAGGAGATAAAAACATTGTCCGGACCTAAACCTCAAACATATATGCGTGTGTTGGGGAGAGGGGTGTATCATATAAACAGACAGAAAGACACAAAACAACAGCCTCTCTGCAACTCTCCCTCCCTTCCTTCTCCCGCCTTGCCCACCTGCTGAAGGTACAGCATCAGCGCCCGAGGGTGCGAGTGCACAAAGTCCATAAATAGCTCCCGGGGCACATTGACCAGCAGGCAGCCCGACTGGATAGGCGCCATGGTAAATGGACGGAGGCCAAAGAGTGCCGCGAAGAGTGCCGCGAAGAGTGCCGCGTTGAGTGCCGCGTTGAGTGCCGCGTTGAGTGCCGCGTTGAGTGCCGCGTTGAGTGCCGCGTTGAGTGCCGCGTTGAGTGCCGCGTTGAGTGCCGCGTTGAGTGCCGCGTTGAGACACCGAAAGGGGAGCAGTGCGGCAGCAAGCCGCGGCCACGACCACAGAAGGGGCGCAGGGAAATGGGAAAGGGACACGGGGAGGAGTTCAGCTGCAGCCGGAGATTGGGAAAGAGCAGCCTTCACGGAAACATCGGGAACAAGTCGGGAGCCTGCGCACACGTGACGCTAAAGCATCTTCTAATCGGACACGACACGTGCTGCTATCTCCATGGCTGCTATTCTATTGCTGTTATTTTACCTGCTTGCTAGCTGACATGCCAACTTCACGCTGATGCCGTTGATGCCACAATACGTTTTCAGCAAGGCAGGCTAAGTGAAGGCCGAGATCTTTCACCACCCGGCTGCCCGCCCAGCACTACCTTCGCGCGAGTCCACCCCTCAGCCGCACCTCCAGTGCCATACAGCTCACGGTCCGAACCGCGCCGTCCACCACATCCAGGTCACCCACGCTCTCGCCGCTCCTGCGGGTGGTGGTTCGGGTTCGAGGATTGAGATCAGGATTAAGGATGCAGATTGGGATTAGGGTCCGGGGTGTGGTGAAAAACCAGAAATAGTAACAACCAATGAAATGCAAACAGCGTCGTCTGTGGGGAGAGCAGTGATGGCGCTGGTCGACACAGTGTCAGAGGTCCTCGGCAGCTAGTAGACCACCTGATCTCGGCAACAACTCCTCGCGCCCCGAGTCCCTGTTGTCGCGATCGGGGCTCGATCGGGCTGCCCCCTGTACTGTACTACCGTCCTCCCCCGTACTCAGCAGCGACTCCATCACAACGCTGGGCCGCTATCCTGACCCGTCTGGGTAGGGGATCTCGCCGCCTGCTCGCCTCTCCTACGGCTCTGGTAGGTCTTATGCGCGGCAACACAACAGAGCCAGAGTGCGGCAGGTGAAATATACCAGGGTCGTAGCAGCTGAGAGCTGAGGAGGAGAGAGCTCTCATGCTCAGTTACCCAAGGCGTCAAGTGGCCACTCATGCTTCACGGGCGCAATCGAGCGCAATGCAATAATGTGCAGGGCACAAGATTGCCCTAGCACGCCTCTTGCACACTTCACGGTGCGCGCCTCCGCGCGCCTGCCACCGGCCGGCGCATCAGCACAACACAACACAACACCGCTGCCGCACCTTAGCGTGTTTGCATGGATGGGCGGCGTGTTGTGTGTGGGATCCTCCAGGAAGACCCCCAGGGTGCCGTGCAGCACGATGTAGATGCCGCTGTCAGAGGGGTCGCCGCTGCGGAAGAGGACCTCGTGCGGCGACAGCGAAACCTGTATCGTGGGGCAGCCCCGCGGGGATGAAAGCGGGAGGGTGATCAGACGCAAACATCCAAAAGAAATCAGCTGCCTGTGTAAGTGGGGGGTTAGTTAATGGGTAAGTGGACAGTATGCAACAGTTGTTCAGGAGGCGGTTTAGAGGAAGGGACGGATAGTATGATGGAACGGGGCGGACGTCGCTGCATGGCAGCTTGTAACCCTCTTTCCTGTGCTGCGCCCGCCCCGCGCCAACCCACAAATGTCCCCAGCCCCTCCGACCACTATCCAACTATTCCAACCCTGTCCCCGTGTCGCTCGGTCCAACTCATCCCCGCCGCCGCTTTCCTCACCCTCCTAGTGGCCCGAAACAGCTCCCGAGCTTCTTCCACATCCAGGCATGCGAAAAACTTGGTGGATTGGAAGAAGCTCGGCGTGTCGGCGCTGCGGGGGAGACGGAAGAGGAAACAAGAAACAAAATGCCACCAGGTGTGCAATGAAGGAAGCTGAGGAAAGATGGTATATATATCAAGAATGGCACACAGGAGAACATGTACCACAACACAGTCTGTCTAATGGCGGCAGCTAATAACCCGCGCTCTCCTCCATGATATCATCGGAGGGCCTTAGGATGATGATAGGATGGAAAGGTTGTGCGTGACGTGCTCAGCTAGGCGGCCATGCCCTTGCTGCTGGCCCCTGCTTGTTTGCTTGGCTTCCTTGTCCATTCCCACATCATCAAATCAATCTGACCAAATTCAGACACAACCAAGGTAGACACATCCAATCCAACCCAGATCATTCGGACCATCGCCAGCCCAACCCACATCGGCCAAACCATGTAAGCCATCCCATCCCAATCCAATCCAATCCAGCCCGACCCCGATCCGGAGTGCAGCAGCTCAAAGCTGCACAGCTGCACTGCTGCACACGGCACTAAGTGCAATCACAGCCCCAGCTGCGTTGTGTACAGAAGGTTTTTTTTAAAATACTGCCGGCTTTGCCGGACCCATGCTCTGCTTAACACACACGTATCTTTGTCCTCCTCCTCGATCCCAGTACTAATACACATATACACAGACACATATACACAGAGGCCCCACAATGCGCTGCGTCTTCTGTTGTGTGGCCCAGTGCACGTGCGCCTCTCGGAGCCTCCTCTCCGCGTAATACAATAGAAACGGACGCATCGCCCCCTGTACGGCAGCATCCCTGGCTGTGCTGCTCCGTCTGCATACTTCGCCTGCCTTACTTCTCAGGCGATGAAGATATGGGACATAAAGACGAGGAGCCCTTTGTTTGCTCCGAAACATGAAACCCACCTGGCGAATAGTTGTGCGGCCGCGGCTCCTGCTGCTCCGTCGTCATTGAGATCCTGCTGGGACCCCAGAGCGCTAATGATGCCGGGGCCTATTTCGGCATCACGATGGCCAAGCAACAGCTGCTGGTCTTGCGGATTGTGGCTTTGTGTTAAGTAGGCGGCGGCGGTCGCGGTCGTGGCGCCGCCTTCGTGGGTGAGGCGTGGACCGCACAGGCCGTTGATGTCCAGGGCGCCGTGCGACATGTGTGCAGCATCATCCCCTGAGAGGGGGATTAACAAGATTAGTAAAAATTTAGGTGAAAGCTACGAAACAAACTCAACAGCTACGTGAGGAGGGAAAGTCAGGCAGGTTGTTAGCGGGTTGAGACGCGGAATCAGGGGAAGGGGGAAAAGGAAAACCACGTGAGCCTGCTTCGGAGCCGAAACAGGGTTGCGTAGGACGAAGCGCACGCAATCCGTTCGGCTCGAAGAGAGAACACACCTTCAAGAGAAAAGAGAGGAAGACCGCCATGGTCCTCGAGCCAGGCTGCTATTGCGGCCGTGATACCCCTGCAAGCCCAAGGAATGCCACGACGCTTCCGTTTCCAGGCCATGCGAAAACGCTTCAACGCACGTCGGTAAGCATATATCCACCTTTGAATTGATTTCCATGACCTGGAAACGCTCCCGTTATACTGCTCGAGAGCATAGAGGAGCCCAACGCACCCGGCTGCAATTGCAAAATTTCGCCTAAAGCCAGCATTCTTTTTTTCAAAGCTAGGTATTTCAATTTGGTCGATGATATCCATCCGACTTGCTACACAAGATTCAATTCAGGTCATGACTGTTTAATATTGTCTCCAGTGTTACTAGCTGAGGACTGACTGGTATTACCTAAAGTTCGAGGGGCAGGTAAAAGACGAAGAACATCTGTGCATATGGAAGCCGAAAATCACATGTCGGAGAGCGCAAGGAGGCAAGCATGACACGCGGGCAACGGAGCCGTACCAGGTGGTTGAACAGAAGGACCTAGTCCGCATGGTCCAAAGCCAGTAGAGCAGTTGTGCAGCTTTCTTGCCTTACAGCATGTAAAATGATGTCCTTGTTTCGTGGCATCTCTTCAGCGGACTGGCTGGCGTTTGTCCAGACGGCACTTGTCGCAGCTGTCGTGATGACCCTAGGGCTTTTGGCAGGACGTACGGGTGCATTTGATAAGGCAGCCACACGCAAGGTGCTTCACATCGGTGAGAGCCGGATACACAGCTCGAGGCATTCAAAACTCTTCGCTCGGGGAGTCAACAACTTTCCTTACAAAGTGGTTCACAAGATTAAGTGGTTGCCCGTTATTAGAGCTCAACATCAGAGTGGATCAACACCTTGCTTCTGGACCGCTGTACAGTTTTCGTGCGCATCCCTCATAAAACAACCCGCATCTCAATTGCCGAACCTTGCCCATTTCCCCATTCTCCTACCGTCGCAAAAAACATCTTGCCTTCCAATCCATTACATGGCTGCCTCAGGGATGGGTGGTACTTACGTTCTGTACTGGCCGCTGTACAGCAACGCGCCGTACTCGCGCTACCTCTGCGCGACTGTGCCTTACGCGGCCACCCTCGTCTTTGCCCTTGTGGGGCTTGGCGTCATTCCTTTTGAACCTCTGGTGCGAGCTACTGCGGTAAGTCCCCTTGTGCCTAGGAGTCTGGAAAAGTGGTGCTGTCTGGATCTAGGGATAAGGTGGTGCTGTCCGGATCTAGGGATAAGATGGCGATGCGTTAACGTGAGATAGCAACCAACTGCATGGATTTTGATGCGGCGTAAGCAAAGTGACGCCAACAAGCCCTGAAATAGGCTTGGGAAGGCGGGGAAAGGGGAGAAGATCCCACTGAGCTAGGCGTGTGACAGGAAAACGATCATTATCCTCTATCCTCCGTCCCCCATGCACTACAGCTACAGCATTTCGCCTTGCACATCGTGTCTGTGTGTGTGTGTGTCTGTGTGCACGTGCGTGTGCGTGCGTACGTATGTCCCTGCAGCGCGGCGGCACGCGCCAGGAGTTGCTGACGGGGCCGCTGCTGTACGGCATTATACACGTGCTGGCAACGGTGGTGTTTTGGACGAGCTCGCCGTCGGGCCTGGCAGCTTTGACGATCCTGTGTTTTGGCGACGGCGCGGCGGAGCTTGCGGGTAGACGATGGGGGCGAAGGACGTTGTGGCATAACCCTAGAAAGGTAGGCAAAGTAAAACGACACAGCTCGGTGCTTGAGCCCGGGATGGGCTTGAAAGACCTGCGGGGGTTTGAGGTGAGGTAGGGCGATGAATAGTTTGCGGTGTATGGCTGGGTGGGATGTAAGATAAGCCAGGAACACGGGATTTGGCGCCGAGTGGGAGGTGGAATGTGCGGTATGTGGGACAACGGCGGAGAAGGTAATCCCTTGCTGTCGTCGTCATCATCATCACCATCATCATCATCATCATCATCACCATCATCATCATCATCACCATCATCACCATCATCATCATCACCATCACCATCATCATCATCATCATCATCATCATCATCATCACCATCATCACAATCGTCATCATCATCATCACCATCATCACCATCATCATCACCATCATCACCATCACCATCATCATCATCATCATCACCATCATCACCATCATCATCATCTTATGTTGTCAGTGTGTCGAAACCTCTCCACCCAGGTAGTCCAGGATTAGCAATATGGCCCCATGGCGCTGCCAATGGTGTGTGAAAAGATATGGTACATGCTGGTGCATGGTAAACGCCGTCGCCAATCGGAAAATAAATATACCTCCGACCCATTTCGTTGACCACACCCAATTTTTCCACTTTCTTGTCTTTGCTGCTCTTCCCTCGCGCTTTGTAGACATGGATTGGCTCCGCCGCCTGTTTCCTCGCTGGCGCCATTTGCGCCACCGCCTACACGTGCATGTACGGCAGCCTGGGGCTGTACGACAGGTCTGTGGCCGTCACTGAGCTGGCGGCTGGGTGCACGTTGAGCGCTCTGGTGGCGACTCTGGCCGAGTCGTTACCAGTCGAGGGGGACAACCTCTTAATGTCCCTTGCGGCGGTCGTCACGGCGGTATGGTTTTTCGGGTTTTAGTATCGGTTTTAGTCTTTTTGAGCCGGTTTTAGTGAGGGCTCCCTTTTGTCTATAAGTGGCTTGGCGACTTCCTTGCGAGCTGCTAGCTCGTCAGCCACTACATCAGCTTCCTCGTGGTGGTGGTGGTGGTGCTGCTGCTGCTGCTACTGCTGCTGCTGCCGGTGGATGCCTTGCACTTCGGAAAAATCCCCCACCCGGAATCCGGTTCTAAGCTCAGAATTATTGGTGAAGCGGTGCTTTCCCGCTGGGCTTTCCAGATGATGCAGAGGATGCCCAACAGGATGGAGACCTAATTGAGGCGGGCGGAGGTTAGACCAGTTTTTTTTGAATTCAAACTCGTGATCGGAAGACCTTTTGCTTGAGGAAAAGGGTGTGGGCGGACACTAGCATGCAGGCCGGGCTTGACTGCTTGATAACCCTCAACCCAGGGGGCGAAATAACAATTCTCAGCGAATGCAACACTTCATTGATGTTGTTGTAGGTGCATGCAGCCTTTCGTTCTTGTGAGAAAGGACAAATCATATCGCATCGCGCGAAAGTGCAAGCAGGTTTAACAGGCAGGGTGTGTGTGCAGGCATGTGCACATGTATGAAGTTATACAGAAGTGCGCGGATACATCAAGAAGTACGAACTCTGAATCATACATTACTAATGTATTAGGTATCCAATGCCAATGGCAGGATATCCCAATGTCGGTATTACTAAGGGGCTAATTGCCTTGGGTTGCTCATAACTGCTGCTTATGCATGTGTGGCAGCTCGTGTTGCAGATGGATGGTACGTGGATGGCGTGATGATGTGCCGCAACGGTGCTACAGCCATAACGAAAGCGTTTCGTTTCACTGCCGACAATTTTATATTTCTGGATGGGTGGGAGATGGAAGGCTTAAGTTTTTGTTTTTCCTCGTGCCTCCGCTCAAAACGTCTTCTCGAGTGACCGCCGAATATCTCGTCGAGTACATGTGGCCTGCGCGGTTTCGGAGCTGGGGAGAATTGATTGCGTGCGGATGTGGTGTGTCCTTACACGGCATCTGCCCAAGCAGCCATCCCGGGCACCTGTGCATTTGGGTAACTGGGGCTGGCTGCGTTTTGGAGCGGAGCGACGGCATTTCTGTTCTGCAGTCATGTCGCGGGATGTGTGATGCGAGGATGAAAAGAGGTTGTAAGGGTAAAAGTAGACAGGAGAGAGAGAGAGAGGAAAGTACTTGGAAGGTAGGAGGACAAGGTACGTGCCGTCTCCGGACTGTAGGTGATCACGAGAATGTTCCTGGCAGCTGTTCTTCACCGTCGGAGCACCTCTTGCCACCTCTCCCCTGACGCCAGCACGTCAAGGAGGCGGCGGTGGTAGGCAGGGGTTGCAGGGGGTGCCTGCTGCTGCAGTGGTGGACGGCATGTGCTGGTGGTGTGGCGCGGAGGGTGACCCGTGGGGGACCCGAGGGGGCCCCGTGTGCAGGAGACGTCTCCTGGTTGCCACAGTGGGCTCCAGACTCGTGGAGAAGAGCACAGAGCCGGCGGGCCAGCTGGCCGTGCCTGTGTCGTGCCGTACACCTGTTCAGCTGCAGTACGCGCCGTCTTTAAAGATCTGAGAACACAGCAGGCAGGAAGTATCATTCCTTACTCACATCTCTCAAGGCTCGGGACACGTTAGGACAGTAAAGACGGGCGGGAGGTCATTCGCGTCACCAGTGGCAACCAAAACCGCAACTATTAGCTCACCCCTTCTGACACCTTAAGAGAAAAAGAGCGTATCTAACAACAAAACAGAAAATAACAATTGCCTGAGCTGACCGTACAGGGCAGTGCCAACCCGTTTCGCGATGGTATGCAAGTCTAACCGTAGGAAAAAACGCACATAGAACCAACATAGAACAACGAATTTATTCAATTTACGCATAGTTCACCTTTGCTCCTACTAAAAAAAGCGCACTCGCTGCCGCTTATGTATACTTCACACTCTTTTTCCCAAGCGGGATATCCCTGCATGTGACAGATATCCCTCCAGGACAACGATTACGCCGCCCTTTCAACACCTCTATGCCTCCGCCAAGTGAAAGTAATTTCCTTCCCTTTCCTTAACCTCCGCTCCGGAGCTCCCATGGTAAACGTGTGTGTGTTTGTACTCTCCCATATTCTCCCTTTGAGCGGCACCCCTCATCCGCAAACGTCATAGAGAGAAATGTTTTTTCGGTCCAAAATCTAGGGGAGCGGCACCTGGGCAGAGAGGAAGGAAGGGTCTTCAAACATTGTAGAAGCGGTAGACGAGCTCGTGGCGGTAGGTATCCTGCGGTCGCAGCACGACGCTGGGGAAGGCCGGCTCGTTGACCGCGTTGGGGAAGCCCTGTGTCTCGAGGCAAAGACCTGCGTGTTTGCCGTACTTGACACCGCCCTTGCCCACGATCGTGCCGTCGAGGAAGTTGCCCGCTGGGGGACGGACGGTTTGGGGGGATGGGGGTTTGGGGGGAGAGGTGGATCAGCGACAAAAGGAAGATGTTTGCAGCAGCGGGGAGGGGACGACGACGACTAGTGTTATATCCCACCTGGAAATAGCGAAAGCAACTGAAAACACTATAGCAGTAGCAGTAGCAGCAAACAAATTGCGCACCCAAATCAAATACCCGACCCCAAACTTACAGTAAAACTGCACCCCAGGTGCAGTGGTGAACAGGTCCATGGCCCGACCGCTGACCGGGTCAACCAACGTGGCGGCGAGCTTGGGCCTGTACGAGCAACGGCAAGTACGGCACAGTACGGGACGAACAATACAAGAAATATTTAGCTTTGACACTTAGGCACTGTCGGAGTATGCCGTTCTGTCTTTCTTTGCTGCTGATGTCAGAGGCCGCTGCCGACAGTGTTTGCGGGATGGTGCTACGGGCCCACTGAAATTTACCCTCGGGAGACATACATACATACACACACGCCCACGCATAGACATCTCCCTCTCTCTCTCTCCCCCCGGGTTGGTGCCGAAGAGAGACCGCGCTTACTTTTCACTGGCCATGCCGTTCTTGGTAATAAAGCGCGCCTGCCGTCCCGTGTGCGTGTGTGTGTCGGTATGTCGGTGTGCATGCAAGTGAGCCAGGGTTTTCGGCATCGCGGGCATCGGGGGGGGGGGAGCGGGGAGAGGTGAGGGGCAGGGTTGAGGAAACAGCCCAACGAGGTAACAGCCCACGTACACGCAGGTGGCGACATGGGGGGATGCAGGTCCCGTTATGTGGGGTTTTGTGCGGGTATGTGTCTGTTCTCTTCCCCCCGGGGAAAAGAGGCGAGGCAAAACGGCGGTAGCCTCCTAGCATGACGGAGCGACCAACAAACGGCGGCAGAGGAGATGGCGAGCGCAAACCAAAACAAATGAAGAGATTATCATGTTTTGAACAGGCCCCGGACCCGACCCGACCCCCAAGCTGACAAGTCCTGTCCTAGATCCCCCCCCCCCTCAACCCCATTCCGCCCAATCTTCCCCGGGGCTCCTTAAGCACCCAACTTCCCCCCAGTACCACATCCTGGTCCCGCCCCAGTCTCCAATCTCCTCCCCGCCATACCGACTCGCCCACCCGCAAACCCCACCCCACCCTCGGAGCCCCCCACCCCACACCCTGAAACTTCACCCCCCCACCATCCACCACCACCCACCTGTGGCCCCATGCCGAACAGCACATAGTTGTGGTCGTACCCTCCAGGCGCTGCACCAGGAACCTGAACACAACACGACACAACACAACCCAACCCAACAAATCGCAACACAAAAAAAATATTACATGCGGAAGAAAACATTACCGGAAACCAGCCCAACACAGGGAGGAAAACACCGGGAACACGGCACGAGGCCAGGAAATCAGAAAACCAGGTAAAGGGGGGTCCGAATAGAGGGGGTATGGAGGGGGCGCACCCCTCTAGCAGGCAGATTACACACAACCCAGGGGGGGTTCGTTCACACAGGGGCTGGTCTCCGCCCGCATCGAGGATGTCACCCCCTCCCCCCCCCCCACACACACACACCAAACAAGGCCAAACTCGTGCTTCCTCCCCCCCCCTCCCCTCTCCCCCGACCCCTGTTCATCCCCCCTCCCATTATTCCTATACACAACGACTTAGTATTCCTCCACTCTACACCGGCTCAACCTCCAACCACCAACCTCCAACCTACACTTACACTCAAGTTAGATTCCAACCCCCCGCCAACCGCATCCTCCGCCAGTTGCCCCCCAGCCCCGCAGGGCCCACCCCCCCGTCACCTCGTCGATACGGCTGCCGATGGAGTGAGCCGGCAGGGCGCTCCCCGGCTCCGCGGCGGTGAAGTCGAAGGGGGTGCCCGCCACCGGCGCAATCTCCCCCGTGGGTATGAGCGAAGGCGACACCGGAGTGTAGTGGTCGGCGCCGTGCAGACGCAACAGGTGGCTCAACACCGGGCCGGAGGCGTGGCCGCCCAAGTTGAGGTAAGAGTGCTGTGCAATGTTGACTGGGGGGGAGCAGGGAGGGATGTGTGTCTGTCTGTTTGTGTGTCTGTCTGTATGTGTGTCTGTTTGCTTGTTGTAACATAACACATGGGGTGTTGGTGGCGTGGAGGAAGGGAACGCGGGCGGTGATAGTGGACGGGGCCAGGGGGTTGAGAGCGGGGTGGTGGTGGTGGTAAAGCGTGTGCGAGGGGGGGGTTGCGCTTAATGCGGTTTATATTGATGTGTCAGCACTTTTCCGGGCAAACAATCACGCAGATTTTTGTAACGCTATAGTTTCCGTTAATGCTTCAAATTCTGCCGGTGATGAGTAATCATTAGCCGAATGAGTCCTGACACGGTTCGGATCATCGATTACTTCGGTGTTATGTTGTTTAGAGAAGAAGACAGAAGCCGATCCGAGAAGGTGAGCAAAACACGCCCCAAATTGAGGCCGTGAAAAGAAGCCAGCTCGTACATGCCGCATTTGCCAGTCCGTGACCGCGTCCACAGCATGGAAATATATCACACACATACACACATGCAGAATATTCTCAAAAAACTCCCTTCCTCCTTTCCTCCCTCCTTTCCTCCCTGGACTCCCCCTCCCCCTCCCCCCCAACCTGGCGTGGCCTCGTCCGAGGTGGCCACGATGCTCGTGGTGAGCTCGTTGGCGTTACGAGTCAGGCGGTATGTAACGCTCACATGCAGCGTGCCGGGGAAGCCCTAGACAGGCAACAAAGCAAATGACAAGACAAAAGATCGTAACAATAAACACGCAAAAAGAAGGATCCGGGATACTATCAGCGGCGGCCGCAGCAGCCGGACAAGATTCAACACATCCTCATTCGTACCGTACCAGCACATCCCAGATGGATGCTCGTACAGCTCGTACAGCTCTCAGCGTATCATGTAACAGCTCAATATGGATGCGTGCGAACTCAACAGAACTGAGCCGCTGCGGGGCAAAGCTACGGGGCGAAGCACAGCTAAGATGTCGTGCGTGCGTGTGCGTGTCTGTGTTTGTGTTCGCCAGTATGTTTGTATGTTTGGATATGCTGCTCGGACAGAGGACGTGTTTTTATGCCACGTCCGGGGCGGCCTCCAGTCTCCCTCCCCCTTCATCTTTCCTTGGCAGCAGCTTCACTCGCTCGTTGTTCGTCGTAACCCCCTCCCCCTTCTCCCTGCCACACCTCCTCTCCCTCGGGGCTGTCGTAGTGCAGCTGTACGGCATCATAGTCAGCTCCCCGGATAAGTCGTCCCTCCCACACTCGCTTGTGTAGTCCCTTCAAGCCGCCTGCAGGGAAGGGGGGTCGGGAGTGGGGGAGTACAGGGTGCCATTGGGGAGATGGGGGGTGGGTGGGGTGGGGTGGAAAGAGAAGAGTCGATGTGTGTCTGTATGTGTGTATGTATGTATGTGTGTATGTATGTGTGTATGTATGTGTGTATGTATGTGTGTATGTATGTGTATGTGTATATATGTGTGTATATGTGTATGTATGTACGTGTGTATGTGTATGTATGTACGTGTGTATGTGTATGTATGTGTATGTGTGAAGATACATGGACAGGGGAGGGGGTACTGGATGGGCAGGTGGCGGAGAAGCGGGGGAAGATGGGGCTTGGCGGTGGAAGGACTAAAGAGCGGCAGTGAATGGGAGAGAGGATGGATGATAGTGGGGGGGGGATAGGGGCGGGTAAGATGTGGGTTTAATAGCTGGACTACAAACACATACGGTCATGTGCATACAATGGTTCGTGTACCACAATCGCCATTTCTCTCGTCACAGCTCAGATCAATAAAATACATACACACACACACACACACACACGCACACACACACACACACACACACACACGTGCCATGCTCCAGTCCCTCCCCGCACCATGCAGGCAGTTGGGCCCATCGTTGGCCAGCAGGCGGTACTCCGTCCCCTCCAAGGTGAACCGGGCGTTGGCGATTCGGTTGGCTACCCGACCAACCACCACACCGAAGTAGGTACAGGGGGTGGTGGTCTGAGGGGGTCGTGGGGGAGGTATGAGGCGGGTATAAGGCGGGAGGGGTATGAGGCATGGAGGCGTATGATTACGTGGGGAGCGCGGAGGTGTTGGGAGAGGATGGGGCGGAGGTGGAATAACGTCGGAAAGGGAAAACTGGTGTTCTGAGTGAACGGGGGAAGGGGGATTGCGGAAGGAAACCCCTGCGCCGCGGGCCGCAGCAGGTGGGCCGGGTGATATCCAGTGTTGTTACGGGCTCGAGGCAGGAAAACTTAAAACAGCAGCTGAGCGCCTATTTCGGTTCCTATGTGCGCATAGTAAAAGGCAGCCAAGTGGCAAGTATAGGTTTTCCGATGCCGTAAAGTGTGGGAGTCAACCATCTGTTATGCCACGCCACAGGCTATGCTATGATAGCAGTGTCTAATCTACGCCAGAATGAACGGCTTTCGTAAAGCAGTTTAGGAAGGAGCTGCCAAAGTGTTTGCTGTCGTAAAGTCGCGTACCTCATACTCTTGAACAGTATCATAGCCCAGGACAACATCGGCCCTGTTCCCTTTCTTGTCAGGAACGAGAATATTAAGGATAGCTGCACCGAAAGCCGAGATTTGCACCTCCATCCCGTTGACATTCTTCAACGTGAAGACGGGCAATCCAGAGTGCCACGACTGGTCACGGCGAGCACGGACCCGTAACAGGGTCAGCGCTGCAAGCGCGACGCTGGACCCTAACAATAAACCGGCAAGGATACGCATTTGGGCTGTCACCTGTGTTCGCAGGGTGATCCACAGTCCAGATGAATAACCTCTTCCAACGCTAACCCAATAATTGGAGTCATATCCGCTCTGCTTTAAACCGTGAGGAGCACGGAAAGCGCATCCCGTACAGCTAACCACCTTGCGGAACTTTAACCTCAGCTTGCGCAGCGATTTCTATCCCAACTGGCGGTGGACAGTACCGCTCAACAGTTATTGACCATATAGGTAAACCTGCCCAGTCCTTACCCTCACTTGGCCGTAATCGCCTCATAAGCATAGTGCAGGTCCTTACAGCAGGCATAATTCGATATATAATAGCTGTAAAACCTATAATTTATTTCAATTAACCTCATAATGGCTACACTTGATGATCAATACGATCTGGTGACAATTGGCGCGGGGTCAGGTGGTGTGCGAGCCAGCCGCTTTGCCGCAACTCTGTATGGAGCCAAGGTAGGCATGCCCTACCGCAACTAATCTACAGATAGGACACGTTCCCAGGCTCTCGGTATATTTGGTGGCGATTGGGTTGCACATGACGGTGCACACCTTGGGGATTACGACAACCCGGATGACTGTTCCAACCCCCACCCGGGCTCAAACAACAGGTGGCTTGCGTGGAGCTGCCCTTTGGCTTTATTTCAAGCGAATCTGTGGGCGGAGCTGGCGGAACGTAAGTCCCATATGTTTTTAACTGCCATTGCGGGCTGCTTCCGACCCCGCACCTGGCCTCCGAAACAAAATAAGGCAGTCTGGAGGCAGAACCCATGCGTTTATTATACATATATATACACACGCACAGTTTATGCTCCAATCTGATATGGGGCTTGACATGCCATGTAGATACGGGGCTTGACTTAAGCTTGTCTTGTAGCTGCCTCGCCGCCATTTATCGCCCTCAGCTCAGTTTTCCTTACCCCTATGCCGCACAACGCTCTGTTTTCTCACATGTACGGCACGCACACATGACACATGCAGTTGCGTGATCCGCGGCTGTGTGCCCAAGAAGTTGCTGGTGTACGGCGCTGCCTTCGCGGAGGAGTTTACGGATGCGCGTGGCTTCGGATGGGCGCTGGGTGGCGGCGCCGCCGCCGCTGATGGCGCGACTGGCAACGGGCCGGTGCATGACTGGTCATCTCTCATAAAGCTCAAGGTAGCTGCTTCAATTTGGCTTGGGCTGAGCTGGTCTGGGTTGGTCTGGTCTGGTATGACCTGGCCTGATTTTTATCTTTTTATCTTTAGGGGGGTGGACGGGGACGGGGACGGGGACGGGGACGGGGACGGGGACGAAACGGGTGGGCGAGGGGGAGTCAAGGGAATTGCGATTGGTCAAGGGAACAGCTGCCGACGTCCGAAGCAAGAAGGGGAAGGGGAGGGGACGGAGACGTATTGTAGACTGCTGTTGATACTGTTGTTGACTATTTGGGAGGACCTACCACGGAGCCTTGGCGGCGGTGAGGTTGGGGCTGCGGGCTGGGGTGGGGTGGGGCTGGGGTGGGCTGGGGTGGGCTGGGGGGTATGTGCGTGTGTGTGTGTGTGTGTATGTGTGTTATGTGTATATTGCACTTCATGCTGCTGGTTGCGGCAGTATTGGCGGTGGTAGTGGTGGTGATGGCGGTGGTGACAGGGCGCGGAAACACACTCGCTTCCTAGTGCTGTATGGAACCCTCATCATGCCGCTTTCTGAAGGCTCTTGGTCGATTGGTGACCATCATTCTTGTCGTTCAGTTGGAGAGGGTCGCCAATGACTTGATGTTGTACAATTGCATGTTGCATGTGACGGGGACACCCCCCCCCCCCGTGCAGAACAAGGAGATACAACGGCTCAACACCACGTACGGCAATATTCTCAAGAACTCGGGCGTTACGTTGATTGGTAAACCGTGTGTGTGTGTGTGTGGGGGGGGGGTGTAATGTATGACACGGTCGGGATGGGTTGGATTAGGTGGAATTGGTTGTCGTACTGTTGCGGCTGGACGAGCGGTCGTCACCGGATCCTGTCACGATCGCCGATGTGTCTTATAAATCGAATCCTGCGAAACTCCCTTAAAGCGCACACCCACAAAAACCGGTCCTTCTCTCTCCCCCCACCCCAACACACGTGTACACACGTCTACATACATACATACATACATACATACACACATACATACATACATACATACATACATACATACATACATACATACATACATACATACATATATACATACATACATACATACACACATACATGCACACATACACCTCCACATGTACACACACATACACACACCCCATCCTCCCGCATCCCCTGTCCTGCTCAGAGGGTCGTGGTCGCATCCTGGACGCCACCACAGTAGAGGTCGCGGCTCCTGACGGCGCCGTACGACACCTCAGGGCGAAGAACATCCTGCTGGCGACAGGGGGGGTGGCAACCAAAATTCCCATCGAGGGCGCGGTGCGTGTGCGTGTGTGTGTATTTCCGTACGCGGTGTGCCTGTACGCCCCTGCCTGCGCGTCCATCCGTGTGCCTCTGTGGGTAAATGTGTTTCGAAGAAAGAGAGCCGCCGGAAATGGCCCCTCACTCTCCCTTTCTCCCCCCCCGGGTCTATCCCCCCGGCCCCCCCGGCCCGCCCCGCCCGGGGTTTCAGGAACACGCCATCATGTCGGACAATGCTCTGGCCCTGGAGGCCCTTCCCCCGGGACCTATCGCCGTGCTGGGAGCGGGGTGAGATGGGGAGATGGGGTTTGGGGGGTTTGGGGGTTTGGGGGGTTTGGGGGGTTTGGGGGAGAGACATGGCCCAACCTCGTCCCGGGTGAACTGATCCCGCACAGCATCCAGTTGGATTGCCGTACACGTACTTTTATTGGCCGCTTTCTCGTCCGCTGCTGTCACCACAACGACCACCACAACGACTACCACAACGAACTGTCAACGACCTGTCAGGGCCGCAATGTGAAGCGGTTTGTGTGTCAGTCAGGGTTTCGGGGGTTTTCCTTTGACCCGCCTTCCCCCTCCCCCTTCCCCTTCCAGTCCCCCCCCTCCAACATTTCCTTTCTAACCTCCCATACTGCCAACCTGCGGCCTTAATCATTGGGAAGTCTTGGACCTGCTTTGCTGGGAACAACCTCTTCCCCTTTCCACTCACATACATACACACGTTGACACATACATACACCGCCTCTTCTACCTCCCACCTTCCTACCCCCCCCATCTCTCCCCATCCCGGCCAGCTACATTGCCACGGAGTTCGCCGGCATATTCCGCGGCACCCACCACTACCCGGTGCACTTGATGTTCCGAGGGGACAAAGTACTGCGTGGGTGAGAACGGGGCGATTGGAGACGGGCCGTGCGTGTGTGTATGTATGTATGTATGTATGTATGTATGTATGTATGTATGTATGTATGTATGTATGTATGTATGTATGTATGTATGTATGTATGTATGTATGTATGTATGTATGTATGTATGTGTGTATGTATGTATGCATATGCGTGTGTGTTCTGGGGCAGGGGGGACTAAAATTACACATAAACAGTACTGTATATTGTCTATAGTGAGGTTTTAGTTAAACGACCCTAGGGGCTGCGCTGTGCTTATATGTGGAGGGAAGAATGGAGTAGGGAAGAATGGGGGGGGAGGTAGCAAGTTGGAGATTTATAAGAGCGGAGGTACTTGGGGACCTGACCAAATGAGGCGGTGTGTGTGTGTGTGTGTGTAAGGGGGGGGGGCTTGTTCTGAGGAGTGGGGAGTGAGGAGGAGGGTCATCACCACCATATGGTTTCCTCCTCGCCCTCTCCCCCATTTGCTGTGTGCTCTTTGCATGTGATTACCTCCCTCCCTTTCCCCCCTTTCCTCCGCTCCGCGCACTCCCCTCAACCCCGGGGTTGAGCGGTGGCCTCTCCCAGGTTCGACACCGAGTGCCGGGACCAGGTGCAAACCAATTTGGTGGCGCGGGGGGTCCATGTGCATCCGGGCTGCCAGCCCACGAGGTGAGTGAGTCGGGGGGTGCGGAGGGGGTGTGGAGGGACCACGAACCCGGTGAAGCTGATATATAGTACGGGGGTGCGGGAGGTGCAATGGCATACCAAGGGAAACACAGGGACAGCTGTGTTGAGAAGATGAGGGGGTGCGGGTGAAAGGAGTCCGCAGTCCTGCAGATATATAATCAGTAGTTGAAGTTGCGCTTCGTAACTTGGGGGTCGGTAACTTGCGGGGTAACTTGGTTCCCACATGGCTCCCCCGTCCCCGTGGTTTGTGGTTCGTGGTTTGTGGTTCGTGGTTTGTGGTTCGTGGTTTGTGGTTCGTGGTTTGTGGTTCGTGGTTTGTGGTTCGTGGTTTGTGTTTTCCCCGCTCCCCGTCACGACTCAGGATTGAGAAGAAGGGCGAGCACCAGCTGGTGCTGCACTACCGGGACTCCAGGGGGGCCGGGGAGCAGCAGCTGGAGGTGGCCATGGTCATGATGGCCACGGGCAGGAAGCCCCGAGTGGAGGGCCTGGGGCTGGAGGTGTGTGTGCGTGTGTGTGTGGGGGTATGTGTGTGGGGTGTGTGTGGGGGGGAGGGGAAGGGCTGCGAGGGTGGTATGAGGGGGTATGAGGGTATCAGGTGTGAATGAATATGTTGCTGCTTAGAAAGGGGGGGAGGGGTGTAGGTTGGGGGTTGGCACCTAGACGAATCACTGACGGTTGAAGCTTGAGGATAAGAGCGAGAGAGGTGTACGGATATACTCCCGGGTTAGGCAGATACAGGTTAGGAAGGGGGGAAGATGGGGAGGTGATCGGAGTTGTGACCTGGGGATTGAGTTTTGGGGTAGGTTTACAGATGGCCATTGCAGTGGTGATGCTGTGGAGGTTTCCCACCCACTCGCCTTTCTTTCACCTCAGCTCTTTCCGTCTCCCTCTCTCCCACACCCTATTTCCCCCCCGCCCCCCCCCCCCGGGTGTCTCTCCATCTCTCCCCCCAACTCTTCCTCCTCCCTCTTTGCTCTCTGTCCTCAGGCAGTGGGGGTGGCTCTAGACTCCTCGGGGGCCGTACAGGTTGACGAGTACAGTCGTACATCCGTACCCGGCATTTGGGCGGTTGGTGACGTCACCAACCGCATCAACCTGACCCCCGTGGCGCTCATGGAGGGGATGGCGTTTGCAAAGTGAGTGGGGGCCTGTAGACATATACATATATATATATATATATATATACATACATGTGTATGTACACACGCGTCGCCGGCATCATCACACCACGCACCCCCTCTCCCCACTTCCGCTATGCCTACTGCAGATACATCTGTAATTGTATACATCTCTAATTGTGTACGTGTGTTTGTTTGTTTTTTTCCAGATCCGCCTTCGGCGGTGAGCTCACCAAGCCGGACTATCGAAACGTGGCCTCGGCGGTGTTCTGCCAGCCCCCCCTGGCTACGGGTACGTGGGGTTGGACGGGCGGGGTGTGTGTGGGGGGGGAGGGGGGGCCCTGCAGAGGGGTTGTCTTTGTTTCAGCTGTGGCAGATGTGTCAGCAGTAGCCGCACGTAGGCGACTAGGTGGCTTTAGTAGTAATAACCTGTATATAACAATATTATTAATGCTGTTGAAATATGAGTGTCCCTTTTAATTCGCGTGTTTTATATTTTGTTTCCATGAAATCTGTATGTGAAGTCTGTTGAATTGAATTGAACCGACATTTGTGTGGAAGTGAGATATGAAGTGAAGAGAATTGAAAATGGCAAATTGGCGGTATTTCATTAGTCACGACATCACTTTACTAAGTCCGATTGCCTCTGGTAGTGTGGTATGGTGTGGTGTTAAAGTAGGTTTCGAGCAAGGGGGTTCGAGCAATCTAAGAATTGCAAATCTTCATAAAGATATATGCAATGAAAAAATAACCACTGCGCGAATTGTTGTACGGATGCTGAATTGTACGGATCGTGAAGTCTTCAGTGGAAATGGGGTGCTGTTTGGATAATGTTTTTTCAATTTCACATCAAGCAAGGCCGTGTTTGCTTTCCTCCGCCTGCTGCCCGCTGTCTCCCGCTGCTTCCCGCGCTGCTGCTGCTCCTGCCGCCACAAATCTACGTAACTTCGTACTCGAATGGTCGTACCGAATGTCGTACTTCCCGCTCTCCGTGACCGGTTGTGTCCGGCAGTGGGTTACACGGAGGAGCAGGCGGTCAGGGAGTTCAGCGGCGACATCGATGTGTACGTCAGCCGGTTCAGGTACGGCACATGTGTGGATCAGCCTTCGCCTTCGCCTTCAAATACATACATACATACCGCACGACAGCACGTTTACGGCGTGCTGCCTTCAGGTCCTTCAGGTCCTTCAGAGACTTCAGAGACTTCTTCCTCCCAAGGGTTCCTTTCCACTCCTTTCCTTCCTCATGTTGCGGCCGCCCGCTCGGCCACCTTCCATCTCCCCTTGCCGAAATGTGCATGGTCGTGTACGTGTACGTCTGGACCACCAGCAGTTGTATAGCCTCTCACCCACACCTGGCTGGCTGGCTGGCACTTTAATGGCAATGACCGGGATCCTAATCTGCACACTCAGCTCGCACGTGGCGGTGACATGACGCGGCGGGCCCCCCCCCCCCCACACACACAACACACAACACACACCATCATACACATTCCCACAGACCTATGAAGTACACCATCAGCGGTCGTGATGAGAAGACGCTCATGAAGCTTGTCGTACATGCGGAGAGCGACAAAGTGCTGGGTTGTCACATGTAAGTGCGTGTATGTATGGATGGATGGATTTAAAAGCTGCTGCTGCTGCTGCTGCTGCTGAAGGAGGGGTTGTTGTACGTGTGTATGTGGTGTGGTGTGTTTTGTGTTTTGTGTTGTAAAGCTTTTTAAAACGGCGTGAAGGATTGCCCAAACTGAGTGAAGGATTGCTTTTTCGCTTTGCAATTCAACGGCTGCTTTCCGCTGTTTCAACAACACCGGTTCGGTAAACGGTTTGCTAGTCCTGCGCGTACGGAAGACCGATGAAGTTTGGACATTTGCGAAGAATCAAACCCTGGGAACCACCAACCCGTCTGTTTCCCCTCCTCTTCTTCCTCCTCTTCCTCCTCGTCTTCCTCGTCTCCCCCGATCCGACCTGTCCCCCCTTCCCGGACATTAGTCCCTTGTCACCCCGACCAACCTCATCCCCCCTCACCTCCACTCCACTCTCTCGCTCTCCACTCCCCTCCCCTCCCTATCCCTTCCACTCCACTCCCCTCCCTATCCCTTCCACTCCACTCCCCTCCCTATCCCTTCCACTCCACTCCCCTCCCTATCCCTTCCCCTCCCCTCCCCTCCCTATCCCTTCCACTCCACTCCCCTCCCTATCCCCTCCCTCACGCTCCAGGGTGGGTCCTGACGCCCCGGAGATCATGCAGGGGCTAGCGGTGGCGCTCAAGTGCGGAGCCACCAAAGCGCAGTTCGATGCCACGGTGGGCATCCACCCAACCGCCGCGGAGGAGTTCGTTACCATGAGGACCCGCACGCGCACCGTGCCCGGCACCGGCGCCAGCAAGCTATAACAATCGTGTCTGCTGAATCTGGACTGAGCCTCTGCGACGGCTGCTCTGGCCGGGTGGGGCGCGGGGTTGGATGCGCAATTTGTGATGTTGTGAAATATGCGCATCAACTGTGCATATTCCAGAGGATTATGCGCAGAATATGAAGCAAGCAGAATGGTGTTGTGGCGTTGTGTTGGGAATTAGTGCTGGGAAGCGGGGCTAAGGTGGCGCTAGGGCGCTGACCGCTGAAGGTGTGGAGGTAGTAAGTATCATTGCAGTGGACGAAGACGCGCGGTAGCGGTGGCAAGGAAGGGCGTTGTCGGGCAGATTTGTTGGAAGTTTGTAAAGCTGAGCTGATTGATGCACCTATGTTGTGGTGGTGAGCTAAGCGCATGGGGCCGGAGTTTTGAATTTCTCCTTTTTGCATCATCGGTGTTGGCTAACCTGGTCTAGCGCTGTTTCTGCGGATCACAGCGGGGCCTGTTGCTGCTTCGTTTCCTTGGACGAGTTCTCTGTGTAGAGGAAAACGACTGCTGCAGGAAAGAAAAGGAGTCTAGTTGCATACCTCCCGAAAATAGATTCTTTGAGGTCCGCAGTTACGGGATTTATTCATGAATACCTATTTGTTATTTGCTGAGCCGTTTCCATCGTTTGGGCTGAGGGTTGGCAACTGGGGCTTTCGATGAAGAAGAGAGGGAATGCCTTGCTACCCGGCGCTACCCAAAGGCGCACCGGGCCCGTCAGCGGTGGTGCAGCGATGATAACATGGCGCCAAGAGGTTACTCCTGTACCTATCAGCACCTCGTCACAGGAAAGGCTCTGGCAACTTGGGTTGCAGAGGAAAAAGTATATGTAAAATAAGCAATAACCTTGCAAGTACGGTATGAACACCATCCAAGGCGAGGCGATAGTACCTTTACCATTCTTTACCACATAAGACGAGAGTGCACGAGCTGGAAGATGAAAAGGCCACCGCAATGAACAGCGCGCTTTTCGAATAGCATGCTAAAACGCGGTAATAACAGTTACTCACGGACTGATGCCAGCGGCCTGAGGAAAAAGCAGCAGCAGCTCCACCACCACCACCAGCAGCAGAAGAAGAAGAAGAAGCAAGCAGCAGCAGAATCAACAACGTCACCACCGCATTCCAATCGCGTCAGGACGGGGGCCGCCCAGCCGCGCAACCTGGTCTGCCTGGCCGTCCGAGCCCGAAGCGCCCGCCTAGTCGCAGAGGAAAGCCACCGCGTTAGATCATCAGGTAGATTCATATCCCGGAATGGAAAAAGTAATCACGATACTGTTTTTGTTGCTGTCTTGGGGATGCGGCCCGAGGCTGCTTTGCTGTCGTGTCGGCTAATTTTTTATCGCCTTTTTGCTAGGTGGGAATTTCGTTTGAGCCTTTTTTTAAGGGAAAACGGTCAGGTTTACCACGTTCTGCACTGAGCAATTTGACCGGGGGTAAAAGGGGACCAGGATTTGCACTCGGCAGAGACTGTGGCTTCAAAGCAGCGACTATAGGGTCTCTGTGAAATTCGATGACCCGTGGGTCCATTGACACCTCGCTTCATTAATAGGCTGCGCTTGCTGACTAATCAGTATGTATTATAATCACGACAAACTTTATAACATAGGCTTTTTTAGCCTTTGTGACAAGACGCTACATAGCTTTTGCCTCTCGCCTTCTGCTATCCCGATTTGTCGAAACGACTTGGTCGCGGTCGCGGATCTCTGAGAACCTCCGACGAGGTACACTGCTATTGAACTGAGCTGAGCAACCGGCAGCAGAAGGAGCACATTGCAAGTGCGTCTGCGGCCAGGCGTCAAAACCCTAAGTCCTCTTACTTCTGGATTGCAGTGCTGTGCCCGCCGGTCCGCAAGCAGTGAGTTTGAACTGATCTCTCCCGCATGCCGCAGTCTCTTTTTACTCCAGAGCTGTGGTGACCCGACCCACATCAGATCGCAGTACCCACATCAGACCCGACCCACATCTGTTACCTGTAGTGACCCAGATATCACCGAAATGGGATCTCCTCTCCTCTCCTCTCCTCCCCAATCCGCACATCGTATTATCCCCGTCTGTAGACCTCATTCCCGCTCCCCTCCACTTTGCTGATGCTGCCCCTACCTCCCCTCTCTTTCCCAGCACCAGCACCACCTCCCACCCAGGGGGCTGACAGCAGCCGCTACAGCGCAGCAGCCGCCGACAAGGCCCGGGCGCCCAGCGTTCGCTGCCACGCAACTAGTAGCAGCCGTAGCAGTAGCGGCGGAAGGGCAGAAGAAGGGCCGTCGGCGCGCGAGGTTGCGGAGGCGGAGTTCGCAGAGACCGGGGCATCCAGTACGGCATCCAGTACGACAGCGGCGGCGGGGTCAGAATTACCTGGGGATAGGAAGATGGATCCGCAGCACCGGCAGACGGTTGAGGTGTGAGACGGAAGATTTTTGTAAAAAAAAACCTGCAACGTGCTTTCTTCTGATTTTTTTATGAATTTATTAAAAAAATTTATATAATTTTTATTACATCCAAGAAGGCGGTCGTTTGTACTGTGTACGACCACCTTCTTGAAGATTTGATGCGATCAGCCCGCCGAGGTAAGCCCCCCATCTATCAGCACCTAAATCCCCCGGGGGGATTATTACCCCTCTCTCTCCTTGTCGCCAATCGCCGATAGGTTGTCGAAGTGGACGTGATAGAGGGGGAGAACGGCGAGCCCGGTAGCTCTATGCTGGGTACGGTGGCGGGTACCGCAGCCGGCGCGGCGCTGGCAGGCAGCCTAGCGGCCGCGGCGGCGTTGAGCGTGCCGCTGGCGGCCGCGGCGGCCGCGGTTGGCGCCGTGGTGGGCGCCGTCGCCGGCGGCGCGATGGGCAAGGAAGTCCCTCGTGGCGTTGATGTGGACCGCGCCATGGAGTTCGACCAGCCTGAGGTAGTCCGCGCCGGGCAGGAGGCGGAAGAGCAGGTGGGCGAGACCAACAGGAAGAAATGAGGAATTCCTTAAAAGGGGGAGGGCAAGATATCATTTAATAAATGGTATTCATGGATGGTGTTGGTCATGGTGCAAGAGAAAGCATATTACTATTATTATTATTATTATTATTATTATTATTATTATTATTATTATTATCACCATTATTATTATTTCCATTTTTTTAATTTTAATTTAATTTTTATTTTTATTTTTATTTTTTTGGCTGTTCGACATTCCAAACGGCGATTCCCGAGCGGGGAGATATGGGGGGTGAGGAAAGAGAATGGCACAGGCGTTAAATTATTTTTTCTCTCTCTCTCTTTCGGGGGGTTTCTTTCCTCAACAGTGCAATAGGGAGAGCATTAGTCCGTGGAGCCTTCCGTCGTACATGGTACTTGCGTGTCGTACATGGACACATGAGCGCACGCGGGCGTGTGTATGATATGCACCCCCGCACTCCCCGCCGGGGAAGCTCCCCCCGCAAGGGCTTCCGTACGACATCTTCATCTTCCTACTCCAGGGATGTCCAGGGATGTGTCAGGTGATGAATGTGCCAAAATGTCGCACCGACGGCTGACTGAGCTGCTGGCACCGACACCGGAAAGCACTTGGCAAGTGAAATGAATATCGACGATATGCCCCTCTTTGTCTGTCTGTGTTTTTAATGAAAGCAGCCCCCCCTGGCGATATGCAGGTTGGCATCACCCGTGTATTACCCTCCCCTGCCTGATACACCAGCACATACATACATACTTAACGTGAATTCGTATCTTCCTCTTATCCTTATCTACTACATATTGTTGGTACATACGGACGCACACGTGCAGGATGCTCTCACGGAGACGGTCTGGGACAGCGCCAGTGCGCCGCCGAGTGCGCCGCCGTCGGGAGCGGTTGGTGCCCGCGGTGGCAGGGCCGGCGAGGGCGAGGGCGAGGGCGGGGGTGGAGGTGGGGGTGGAGGCGAGGCGTGTGAGATGTCCCACGGCCGACCTACCCTGGGCGAGCACGAGATCGCGGACGTCCAATCACGAGGCCAGAAGTAGAGGGATGTGAGGATTTGAGCACATGCGTGTGTGTTTGGCGGGGGGGGAGGTGTGGGGAGGGGCGGGGGGGAAGAATGGGTGATGGGTAAGGAGTTCTGTTTCATGGGGTTTCGGTTTCGTTCGTTTGGGAGGGAACAAATCTAAGGGTTCTACTGCGCCGTACAGGACGAAGCGTCCGTACCATGTGTAGCAACGGTATTTGCTGGTCAGTTGTTTCGCTATAGCCTTGATGACGTAGGCGGTTAGTTGGTTAATAAGCTTCCAGCAGCGGGTTTATGGAGTTTGGTTTCCTGTTGTTGGCCTTAGTTGTTGTTGTTGCTGATTTGGTTGTTTGAGGACTGCTGTGTTTCGTTTTTTCATGTTCATTGCGCCAATTCAAACGCTTTTTTGTTTGCTGTAGGTGTGGCGGTTACAGTGGTTGAGGTGGTTGCGGTAGTCATGCAGGCGGCTGTTCTGGGGCGGGGCGGTATTGCTTGATAGTGTCCTGCGCGTGCTGCTGCTGCTCTGCCATTTTGTTGACTTAGGGATACCAAACGATGGATTATTGCAGGTATATGAGGATGAGGATGCTTGTTATCCCCAACCAGAAATCCGTTGGCCGTAATATAATAAATTCGTTGTCCATGCCGTTGTCCATGCCGTTGTCCATGCCGTTGTCCATGCCGTTGTCCATGCCATATATACATCACATCACAGCATGTGCTGCAGGATACGTCAATGCAAAAGCTCATACGTAGCATCCACATGACGGATAAAAGATAGAAACAGCAAAAAAAGTCAGAAATGCAACAGCAGCAAAGACTAGGGTGCTCAGCAGCTTCTTTGAAGCCGAAAAGGGTTCTCGGCCCCCCGGTGCATCAGCCAGCAGTCGCCCCGCAGTATTCCGCAGGGGAGGCTGTACGGCACTGGGCCAACGCAAATCCATGAACAGTGCATTGCGTGCCCTCTCCATTTAAACAAGGACGGCTAAGCATCTATATAGCCTCCTGGTAGTGCGCGAACCCAGTCCATTGCCAATCGAACTGGAGAATAGGAAGTGTATGAGATGTGCGTGAGACGGATAGGAAAGACGTGCTGGAGCAGTTGGCATGGATGGGCTGGAGTTGTGGAGTTTGGCCTTGTGTGGCGGAGCTGAGCCATGAATAGCTATTCTAAGGAAGTCCAAGGAAAGAGCGAGAAAACCGCGTGGCCGCACAGCAATCAAAGCAGCATGAGCAGAAGCAGCTTGCGCCGCAGCGTGCATGCACACCGCAACCCCTATAGCATAAAAGGGTCGGTAACCGACATTTCGAGATAACGACCGGTAACCGACCGGTAACCTTACTGGTCGTTTACCTTTCCGAGAGGGAGGTTGCGTTCGTAGCGGGGACACGTACGTTGACCATTTTACTTCTGGTCAAACTGGGAAGCTGAACCACAGATCAAGCCGTCTTCAACCTTGATATGCTTACTTATTTCAAGAGTTGACGCGGCGACCGTTCCATATAGCTGCAGCGCGGCAAGAAGCAGTTTAACACTCATAGGAAGCCTTTCGTTTGTCGTTTTGGTTCAGTATCTCTTATAGACTGAACGCCAACATTTGAATCCCTTGAAGAAGAAGGAAGAGGAATGGCGGATCCTCAACGTGAACTTTGGCGGGAAGCCCGACGACATATCGGAGGTGTGCGCACAAATGCGAAAAGCCTCGCTACTGCTGCTGCTGCGAATAATACAAAGATAATGGACTATAGTTGTTGCAAATCAAAAGTCAGCGTCAAGCTGTAGGCACCGTTCCAACTTTCTATTGCGGCATTTTTCCGGCACGGGAACCATCACATGTGACCCACGGGTCATGGGCCGCGACCCTCTGCGCAAATGTGACTCCGCTGCGACGCCACACACTCAACCACTGAAAACACCCAAGGCCACCATTTTCCCTTCCAGTGTGTTCTGCTTACCCCCTCTTCCACCTTCTTGCCCTCGTCTCCCCTTTCCCCGTTCCCCACGCTCTCCTACCCCGCCGCAGAGTATGAGGCCCGCAATAGCGAGCTTACTTTGGATCTTCAGGCGGCGGGGAGGGAGCTGCAAACCGCCAAGGACGAAGTGGCGGCGCTGGGGAAGGGTGAGGAACACGCAATACGTACAAAGACTATGGTTGTTGGCGCATTAGAAATTACAAATAATATTACAATTAAACTAATTAGAATTCTAATGAGAAAGTTAGAAGACCCCTTGAGAACAGATTAGAACGTTCTAATGTCGTACACCCATTAGAATGGCTATTCAGACCGCCTCCGCAGCCTGCAACGGCACATTTTTCTAGGAAAAATGGCTGATGCTGATGCTGGGCCATCAAAACCACCAGACAAGGAGCCTTATCCGAGCCATCAAAACCACCAGACAAGACTCCTAAAGCAACATACACTTATGGCAACAAGGAGCTAGACGCTCCAGCCTACGCGGAAGCCCTGAAGAGTGCAAAAGCAAGAGGCAGTGCTTCCTGGTGGTCGTTTTTCACCGTGATCTTGACAGAAAGAGTCGTGAAGCTGAAGTGCACCATTTGCGGCGAGGTGCTGGGTGCCAAAAATCCGTCTGCAACAGCTCCCAACCATCTTAAGAAGCCTTGGGGCAATTTGCATGAGTTGATGAGGATTTTGCTAGAAGTTTTGGGGCGACAGGTTTGGCATGTCCGGACTGTGTGTTGGGTGTTGCTTTACAGACAATCAGGACTGGACTCTTGGACTCTTGGTTCAGGTACCAAAGATGTTGGGAAGGCGTACGCAGAGACAGTTTAAGACAGTCTAAGACAGTTTAAAGGCGAAATTAGTGACCCAGAGGTCACTTCGACCGGGGGTTTGGCTGAGAAGTCCTGCTTACGGGTGTCGTAGCCCCGTAAAAACCGCTAAAAACACCTGGGTTAGCATCTGCCGTAACCATGGTGAAACTCCGAAGTGAAAAGTCCCCCTCCCTGAGAAGTTACCCCAGGTCTTCTAATATTATTTCTAACGTTCTAATTAGAAATAATATTAGAATTAGTAGAGAACGCCTGCCATTCTAATAATTTCTGCAACCCTAACAAAGACACACAAATTGTTTGACCGTCGTGGTCACACGTAAGCTTACATACATACATAGATACATGCATGCATACAACGCACGCGTGTTTCCAGAAGCCGTCCGGCCCAGGCCTTGCCACCCCTTCCCGAACTGTGATACCCTGGGGGGGTCCTCTTCCAGGCAGGTTTGGTAGCCGCACCGGTTTCTCTTTTCCCACGGAAACACCGCTTGCTCTAAAAATCCACCGCTTTGTTTTGAAGCCCTGGTGTTGCCTTTACCCCGGCGTAGCCCCCACCTCTTTTCCCCCAACAGAGAGCCAGGCGCTGCGAACCAGCAAGGACGCGAGCGATCGTGCCACTCTGGGCGAGCACGACAAACTGCAGGTCCACGGGGTGTGCGGCGGGCCATCGTAACATATTCGGCATGTGCCACTGTACTACACGTACGGCAATGGTTGTTTGACGTAATAGTATTTGTTTCCATCGTACTACTTTCCTGATCGGAACTGCCGTGCTCTTGGGCTGCATATTCGTTAGGCGCTGCAGCGGAAGAGAGAGGAGGAGCTCTCGGAGTCGTCGCGATTGGCGCTGCAGGTGGCGTCGTTGCGGGAGGAGGTGGAGGCGGCGCTCGTTAAGGCTGCGGCCGAGGAGTAGGTTTCGAGGGATGAAAGGATGAAAGGAGTAGACAAGAAGGGGAGGGGGGCCCAGACGGGCCTGGACGGGGAAGAAAGCAGCTGCGGACAGCAAGAGGGCCTATTGCTGGTCAGGCCGCAGGCCGATATGCGTGAGGCCGATAACCTCATGAATATTGCAACTTATAAATGCTGTATTTCATCCTACATGCCAACCGCCCTCTTATGCCTGCCGCTTGATAATGTCGGCTATACACCTGAGGGCGCCTATCAGCTAACAGGAACTGACAGGAATGCAGCGCCAGGACTCCATATATAGCGTATATACACAGGTTCCCCCCTCTGGCATAAGCTGGTGGGAAGTCTTGCCACTGAGGACCGGACCGCCCGCTGTGCCTGCAATCCGCCGTACACACAGGCGGGAGCGGGACGCGCACCTGATGGCGCTGCGGACGCACCTGGAGGGCCTGGTGTCGTACTATTCGAACAAGGGGTCGTATATGTACCCTGAGCGTGGCGAAAGCGGTGGTGATGGTGGCAAGGGCGTCAGCGAGCCGGAAGTCGGCAACGGCCTGGTACTGACGGAACCGGGAGCTGTGACGGTGGCGCCGGAGTTGACGGTGGCTGAGGGTTACGAGGCAGCGGTAACGACAGAAGTGTGCGACGCGCCAGCGGTGATGGCCGAGGGATCCTACTCCGAGCACGTGCAGCATCCCGTGCCTAGCGGCGGGGGAAACACGTTACTTTGAGTACAGCGGAGACACTTACCCGCGAGCGCTTTCATACACGCTGCCGAGTTTGGGTTCCATCAGCTCAGTTCATCTTACTATATACCCTCACATTCTTTGCAAACTCTGGGCAAAACCAAAGCTCCAGAAATGCTACTTACCGTGCCTTCCTCACGACGCACAAGCAAGGCACTATCCATAAAAGTAAGCAGCACATGTGACTACAGCCCCGGTTCTGTTACATCGCTTCGCGCTGACCAACTGACCACCCGCGCCCGCATCTAAGAAAACTGTCCCGTTCTGTTTCTTCCAAGTGCAACACGAATTTATCCTTTTTGGACATAAGAGCAAGGAGCTACCCAGCACGAGCTCCGGGATACAGCACTGTACCGTACGACACAGCTCAGGAACGGGCCAATGTGCAGTCCAATCACGCGCTTCAACAAGTCAGCATCCTGCCCGTCCGGCTTGGCTGCATCGCTCGTAGACGTGACCGTGACCCACATCGGCAGGTCTCGAAAGGAATACCCAACGCAGAAAGGAATCCGAACGCAAACGGTCGCTCCCCTGCGTCCGGACCGACGATACCCTCAAAACTTGTCTTGCCTGAAAAGCCCTGTTGTTCCCTTGTCTCTTCTTGTCCACTTCTTTTTGCACCACATCAACACGTAATGTTCCGTTTCATTGCATTATATCTTTATGAGAGGCCCGCACCTCCCCCTCCTGTGTTCAAGCACGTGCAGCGGAAAACACGGATAGATTCGGAGGACAGCTGTCCTCCGAATAGGTCCGTCAGGCGAGGGAACCTTACCATTCGTCGCTGCTCTCCAGCTAGCCATCTAGCACCGACCCGCAGGCTAGGCAACCAGAATGGCAACGACTCGCACCCAGGCGTCTCACACTGCCCAGCGCAAATCGACTGACACGAACCCAGATCCACAACCAAACACAAGCAAAATACGCCTCCACCCACGGGCAAGCCCCGCATAAAACTGGAAGCATAAACTTGTTGGCCTCGTCCGAACAACCCAAACTTGACCCTTCTCACGAGTTCCCAAGTAGCTTCAGAGTAGCTTCAGACCACGACTAAGATAGCTCCGCCTCCACCTTAGGCCGCCCCAACCCCACCGACTACCTCACAGGCTGCCTTCCACAAACCCCTTCTTAACCACACCATTCCACCGGTCCTGACTCTCTCCCGCTCAAACCATGCGGATCTCATAATTCCCTGAGGTGGTGATGTAGCGCACCCACGGCAAAGCCTGGTAGCCGCTCTTCTCTATGACCTTGAGGTAGCGCACCTGCACGCCCGACACAGTAAAGAACGGAATCTCAAACTTGACCTTGATGGGCGGCATCTTGCCCTTGCCCTCGTCCTCCGCCTCCACCGACGGCAACCCGAAGTGGCAGCGCAGCGAGTACTCCTTGCCACCAGGGAAGCTCTTGATGGTCCACACCAGAGCGCTTTTCTCCGGCACGTATGCTGCGGAGCCTTGTGTGCACTTCATGGTGGGGGAGATGGCGTCGGCAGGCAGCGGCAGCATGATTTCCACGGTGTTCGCCTGGCTGCGCTCCTTGAATTGGGACCGAGCCTTGACCAGGTATTCGGTGCGGCTCCGGGATGGCTTCTCGACGATGCAGTCCACCATGATGAGCGGCTTGATGTTCTGGCTTATACGGTAAGTCATTAGGTCAAATGCACCGTCTGGCGGAATGAAGCTGATAGTGCGGTCGTTTTCAAATCGTGCAAGGCGCACACACTGGTGGAATTTGATGTCTTCCAGTTCCACAGCTTTCTGTTTGCTGCTGCGGCCCTGTGACTCGAAGAGGACCTTATCATTGAGGCCCAGCTTGCATTCGGGCATGCCGGACAGGAAGGCGCGCATCTTGAGCACACCGACCACGTCGGAGAGCACCACCTGGCCGGTGCTGCTGACCAGCAGGTTGACGCTCTCCACGACGTCCAGGAAGACCTCGTTCTTCTTGTGACGGATGCCCTCCATGCGCCATGAGACGGCGTTGGTGACAGCCATGGGGGGCTTGACGGTGGCCTCCATCCTGTAAGCATCCGTCTTGATGTACTCTGCAAGGATTTTCGCCTCGGTGAATTGTGGATACCCAAAGTCCATGACCTCGTCGAGCAGCTCGTACACAATGACGAAGTTGTCGCGGAGGGATTCCTCCTCCAGCTCCTGGAAGTAGTGTCGGAAGACATCGACCAAGCGGTGCAGGAACACGAGCGTAGAGCAGGCGTTGACGTTGGTGCGCGTGACTGCGAGCAGGTACAGGTTGGCGACCTGTAGATACAGGTACGTCACGCCGTCGTCGTAGATGACGGGGCTCAGCTTGCCAGCCTCCTCCATTTCGTTGATTTTGGACATAAACTTTTCCGCATACTTCGGCGACACATCCCCCCGATAGTCGCGGAAGATAATGATGCGCCCCTTTATGTCTAGGAAAAAGATGGCCGAGATCGCCATTGCTGACTACTGCAGCTGGGGGCCACGCCCCGCTGAACTGCTGCCGCTGCTGCTGCCGAGGCTGCTGCAACCTGGAGTGCCAGGACTAAGCTCCTACGCCGCGCCCCACGACAAATGACCGGAATACGTCAGCACCTCTCGTAAGCGGCCGCCAGGGTTTGATGCCCGGCGGCCGTGCAAGTCAGCTAGTGACGCCAGGAGATGAACCTGGACAGCAACGTACAAAAGCGGGATGGCGTTCACAGTGACCCAAAGACGTTCACTTATACCTATGACGGCATATGCGTATTGTGGAAGACCGCTGATGCGATATGGCCGCACCTCATGATGCGATCGGAAGGTTGAAGTTGGTCCCACCAATTATCCAAAGTAGAACATGCAATATTACTTTGCCTTCCCCAACCTATACAAGAAAGCAGAACATGGTAGGATTTCAGACAGGGAGAAACAATGCAGAACTTTGAAGCGATGCTGCCTACCTCCGCAGTAATGTTTATGCGTATCAGTTGTATCTCCACAAAAGGATAGTTACATTGCAGATAGGACAAAATACATCCTTGGCATCGTCACCTGAGGTCAGTGGATGTTACGACAAGGAAGAAGGTACGTCAGCCCTCTGGTGCCTGTGCATCGAATTTAAGTCTTCCTTATACAATATAAATGTGTAACCTTCTTAAAACGTTTACAGTTGGGTGGAGAGCTCAGGGGACCACGTATGTGTGGTATGCGCACGGCCACACGTCCTCTGCAGGGGGTAGATGGGTTAATTCAAGGAGGCGTACGAGCAATTCCCACAAGGTACCCGTAGAACTTCCCCTTGCAAGATCCCTATACAATTAGTGCAAAGATAGTCACATCGCAACAGCGGGATTGTGCCCACTTGAGGTGGCGCTTCCTGTTCCTGCGTCCTATGCACAACAGTCCAAAAGTCGCTTAGCGAGTTCTGTATGCCTCTTAGCTCCCTAAGGAGGACGTGACGCAGCACAAGGATGCGCTTTATGCACATACACGCACACACCATGTATACATGCCTGCATTGCATTTGACGTAGGCGTTGCGTTATTCAATGATCCACGGCTCCATATCTACACACACGTACATGTTTGGTGCATCGGGGCTGGGAGGGTTGACGTTTGAGCCCTATACGATGAGCTATATTGCAAATATCAAGTTCGAGAACACCCATACCACGTGCACAGGCACATCTCGGCCCACTTCATCCAACCCTTGTTCATTCTGGGGTATATCTCTTGTGACAAGAGAAAGCCGTGCGACAAACACTCCCACATTATGCTTCTTGCCCATTTAGCGCATGTGAGCTGCCCCAAAGCACGGGACGCAAGTTGCATGTTGGTCCATTGCGCGCCGTGCTAGCCCTTATCTCAAAGGATTCAATAATCAGCATTGCGGTGGAAGGCACCCTATGGCGCCAAAGGTGGATGATGATAGACGGCAACCAAGAGCCTGAACCAATCAGAGCCTCGTTAGCTAGGTGCCCAACATTTGTGAAGACAATACTGGCGTGCGCGGCAATCAAAGATTAACCTAGAGGCATTTAGAATGGTAGTTATTTACCGCGCACACGCGCTATCTTCGCTTCAACCTCGGGTTTGACCATGTCTAAAATATGCCAAGGACTCCTATTATGCATAATTGCGTTTGCTATGCTCCCCATGCTTTGCCGCTACCGTGCTACGTTAAAATGCATGAACACTTATTCCAGTACGGGGCTGCGCATACCGTTGTGGGCATTTACATCATATTCACAACACGGGTAACAAGGGTAACAAGGGTCGGCACATAGTTATAACTAACAAGGGTGTGATACGAGACCAAAGCTCTTTGTGAAAGGGTCGCAGTCTCCCCGTTGTGTCACAAGATATGACGCTAACACAAGCTCATATGGAAACCCTTTAATTATTGGTAAATAAACGAAAATGACATTTTTTCAAAAGATTAGACCAGGCTAGCGACTTGCACTGAGTGCGACACTGACACTGTACGTCATGCTAGACGTTTCATCACGGTTTCACTGACAACGTTACGGCAAACATCACTTGTTTTTTCAGGGATACTGGTATTACTGTCTTTGCTACTTGCGCTGAACTGCATAGGGAGGGGCAAAGTACACGCCTGTCTGAGTGCGGCTGCAGGTTGATAATGCACCCAACTCAAATACCAACTGATTAGTTAGGGCAAAGCAGTCATGGATCGGTTGATAAACACAGGTCTAAGAGACTTGCGCAAAAGTAGTCCCCGGCTTGTTGCGTGGAAGTCGCCAGTTTTTTTAATTGCACTTACAACATTAATTTCTCTAGGGAGCATTTATACAGGTAACGAGCGCTCAATCAATTGTTCTTCCGGAGGAGCTGTCGGGCTGGTGATCATTAGTACGCCCTCACGTCCTCGCAGTGCATTACTCGCAACACCGCGCCTCCTTCAGTCGATATGAAAGCGCGAATACTCTGGAAGACGACATGGAAATGCAAAGAGCGCTTGCCGCAATCGACGAGATGAACGCCAAGACGCCTCCCCCGCCTGCCCTTTCCCGGGAAACATGTCACACGGAAGAGCATTCAGAAATTGACGGGCGTGTGGTCAAATGGGGTGCGGACCATTTCACGGTGCGTGACGATAGGCCCTTTCCCGGTCCGTGCTACTGTCTCAAGCAGGAGCTGCTGTCTTTAGACGGCTCGGGGGCCCCTTCACCTACACACGTGCCACCTGGCGCTGTCCGCATGCACAGGAAACGGCCGGCGAATGTTGTGCAGCATGCACCAAGCACGCGGATTGCAACGTGTGGGTTTGGTGCGCGGAGCCCAACGGCTGCGGCAGCGGCCGGTTACACAAGGAGTGTTGGCTCAAGAAAAACACGGTCAAAAACATCATCGACAGCCGCGGCTACTCGCATCCAGGTAACAGCTCTAATCACCTCGCTCTGCCCGCTTTCCTTAGTCCCCTGTGGCCTCCTCCGAGAATCTCCCTCCCTGACGCCGCCACCCGGGGCCCAGGGACGATCGGCGGGTTTAGGGACGTCCTGCGAGGTACAGGACGTGGGTTCCGGAGCGTTCTTATACACACACGCGTACACATGCGCGTGCGCACACATACGCCACGCACTGGACTCCTTGCGACAAGTGGCATGTTCCAGTGGCTTTTGGTTCAGAGGTGGAGAAAGAGGTTGGCCAGATTGACACGAACACACCGCGGCACGCACACGCCTGACCACGTGTCACTCGAAACACTGCTTCCCTGGCGCATGCCCCCCTTCCCTCGGCACTGCTGCGGCAGACACACAGCAGGTTAGGGCGGCTGGCCCCCCCCCGGGCCCCCGGCCACCTCTTTCTCTCTTCTCCCCCTTTCTGTGTCGCCCCGGGTCGTTTTCCTGTTTCCCCCTTACCTCCTTACCGAGGAGCGATATCCCGCCTAGGACAGGCAGCATTGGTAGCAGTAGCAGCAACGGCAGCAACAGAGAGAGCTGTGCTACATCCCACGCGCCAGTTTGCAGCTTGGCGGCCATGCGGTGATTGCCGTCGCCTAACTTTTACTAACTAACAACTGATCAGGAGGGTTGTGATCTGGTGTCACCACCACATATAGGCATTCCCTGGACTGCCGGGGCGCTGTACAAGCCTGAAGAGCAGCTGCGGGTGCTGGAGAGTGAGCAGCTGAGGCTGGAGAAGCTTCGAGATGATCCGAATCTGCCGTTGGTGTACTTGGACATTCAGATCAAAGGTACGGCGGAGTGGTTTGGGGCAGAGGGATGGCGAGGAGGACGCGGGGGGGGGGAAGTGTGGGAAAGGGGTGGAGATGAGGGGATGTGGCCCACGCGGCCGGGCACCGATGGTTGAGTGGCGAAAGGGGAAAAGGGAGGGTGAGGCAATGTAAGAGCCGGGTAAGGTGTGGTGGTGGTGGTGGTGGTGGTGATGGTGTTGCGGTAATCGGCAGCGTGTGTTTCCCAACTACCCGCCCCATCACCACCACCCTAGCGAACGGGGGAAAAGGGTAGTGAGGGTAATGCTATGATTATATCTGACGAGCAAACAGGCGAAAAAAAGCAGGCAAAACAGGTTAACATGTCTGGGGAGGGCAGGAAAGGGGGATACTCGGCTCCTCAGTCCCTTTTTATGGGGGGCCGCTGTCCGAATCGGTTGAGGTGAGGCATGCAAATGTGGGAGGCATATCTTTGCCGTACCACGACGCGGGACCTGGCAGGGTTAGAACTTGGGTTGGGTTTCGGAGCGAAGGGTAGCCGAGGGGAGGGGAGGGGAGCCAACCACCCGTCAATCACCACAGTGAAAAGGGGTACGTCAGAGGAAACGGGGAACACTCGGCAATTGGTAAACAGACATATAAGCGAAGGTTCTAGTCCTCTTGGCTCCTTGGAGCTGAGAGTGTGGAGAAGCTGTTCCTGTTCCTCTGTTGTCATTAGGCGGTCGAGTTTTCCCGACAGCCTCGCCGCTGAAGTTCTGTCATGGCTTATGCTCTGTTATGGCAGATTCAGCTTCTTTAAGGGCACCCTAAAACTGAACGTATTCACTTAAGTGCGCAAAGGCAAAGCACCTGTTTGTTGGGGGGGATTTGAAGCGGGACTTCCTCACGCAGTAGCGTGCGTGCCGAAGTCCCAGTAGAGAGAAGTCTGCGCAGTAGCACCAGAGCACCTGCGAGGCCCTATATATCGCTATGACCATCGGGATGGTGTGGGATGATGGAGAAGGTAAAGATGGTAAAAGCCAGAGAAGTGGTCGGGAACTCGGAATGCGGAGCCCCTAAGGAGGGGATCGAGCACGCAGCTGTGGGCCCCCAGATCTTTGCACCCCCAGGGCCCCAAGCGCTGGAAAATGATATGTAGTGCTTGGCTACCTGCTTGCCGAGATATGTTAAAGATATGTGCTTGTCGAGATATATTCTCGCTGGCATGCTCGGCTCGCTGGCATGCTCCGACTCACAGAGGTCATGCGGCACCTAACCTCCCCCCTCTTCCCCCCTGGTCAGTTCTACGTCTGGTACACTCTTGCCCTGGCAGCGGCTTCACTCGTTTGTGGTTCGTCTTTCCCCCTCTCCCCCTCTCTCTCCCAGTCTGTCTCCCCCTCTCTCTCTCTCTCCATCCCTCTCACCTTCCTCTTTCCATCTTTTTTTGATGTCGTTGTCCGCCCGCAGGGAAGTACATTGGCCGCATGAAGATAGTGCTGTTCAAGGACGAGTCACCGCGCGCCGCGGAGAACTTCCGTGCTCTCTGTACGGGTGAGCCCGCCCCGTGGGGTGCGGTCGGCGCATGATCACCATCGTCATGATCACCATCGTCATGATCACCATCATCGTGATCACCATCACCGTGATCACCATCACCGTGATCACCATCATCATGATCACCATCATCATGATTACCATCATCATGATCACCATCATCATGCATGTTTGCATGCGTACGCGTTGTTTATGATGCGAGTGCGATCCACCAACAACCAGCCAACCGACCGCCTGGCCTCGTGGCCCCTCCCTATTGCTGGCCCCCCCGCCTCCTTCCGGGTTCCCCCCTGGGACACTTGGCCCCCCCCCCGGTCGCCCTCACGGTGTCGCGCTCACGGTGGGCTGCCCGTGGCGCGTTACGGCGGCTCCTGTTACGTGGTCGCGCCGCAGGGGAGAAGGGTATTGTGCCACAAGGGCACGAGGGAGCGGGCCGGCCGTATCACCTCAAAGTGGGTACGCGTGAGTGCGTGTATGTATGCATGTATGTATGTCCGTATGTATGTATATATATGTCTGTATGTATGTATGTTGGGAGAAGGGTGATGTTCGGACATGCAAGTTCTTAGAACTCCATAGAGGTTGCGAGATTGAGAGTGAGATGTGCTTACTTGAAAGGGAGGCGGAGGCGGGGGGCCGGGGGCGGGAGCGCCCTGAGGCTAGTGAGGTTGTGGGGTGGGGGCCGACCCTGAGGGGCGCCGGGGGAAAGCTGCCGATACGGGGTTCTGTGTGGTGTTTGCTGGGGGGGGGGCCGCAGTGTAGGTAGGGGCAGCAGGTTAGGGGGGAAGACGGGCTCCAAATTCCAACTCTGTCGTGTTGTGTTGTGGGTTATAGCGTGGCTGTGATGCTCTGGCGCTGAGATGCTATGCCGTGCCTGTGGCGATGTGTTTGTGTGTGGGTGTGTTGGTCTGTGTGTCTGTGGGCTTTAGCTTCTTGTTGCGAAACCCCGTCATCCACATGACGGCCACTTCAGTTGGCTCTGCGTGCCTCTCCATCCATCCATCCATCCATCCACACATGCATGCATGCCGCCCTTTTGTCTTCCGCTCCGATGGAGTCATGTGTTGTGTTGTGTGCCTCATGTTGTGCATGCAGGGCTCCACCTTCTACCGCATCATTGACAGGTGTGTGCATGTATGTATGTATGTGTGTGTATGTGTGTGTGAAGGGGAGGAGGAATTGTCAGAGACAGGGTCGGTGCCGGAGAGGGTTTCCCAGGGCACCTGCCCCGTCCTTTCATAGGTTGGTATTGAAACTGGGTTTAGATATAATCCCTCCTTTTCCCGGATACCGCTCTTCGATGGCCCAAAGCTCACAGTGCTGCCGGCACTGACTGCGCTTTGCGTCGGCGGCGATGGGAATGTCCTGTCCGTTGGCTTGCATGCTTTGCTTCGATTCGGTTCAGGATTGATTAATATTTGCCTAGAGGTGCCTTTGGATTGTTCTGTGCCTCACGCGTGTGTGTGTATGTGTGTATGTGTGTCCCTCTCCCTTTCCCTCCCCATCCCCGCGTCAGTCCTTGGCATCAGCTTCACCCGTTCGTGGTCCACATCTTCCCTCCCCCCATCCCCATCCCCGTCCCGCTCCCTATTCCTATGCTTGGATAGGTTCATCGACCAGACGGGCGCCAACACGGAGTCCATTTACGGAGGTGCTTTTCGGGACGACCCGGGAGGTTTGGCACTGAAGCACGACCGCAAGGTGGGGTGGCGGGAAGAAGAGAGGAATCCTTTGTTTTCCGGACAGCGCGTTTATTTCTTTTTAACAGGAAGGAAGAAAGAAAGGATGAACGGAACACACACACATCTACCTTGACCTCGCCGTTGTCGCGGATTCTCTCCCTTTCAACTCCCTGCATCGTGTGTAGACATGTTCATGTGTTCCAAATTGGGTTCCTTTCAGGGCCTTCTTTCCATGGCGAATGCTGGCCCGGACACCAACACCAGCCACTTCTCCATCCTCATGGCACCTGCACCCCACCTGGACGGCCACTACACCATCTTTGGGGAGGTGGTCGAGGGCTTTGAGGTGGGTCAAAACGAGCGACCCGTGGGTCGGTAAGGGAGCTTGGACTGCCTGGCTTGGTTGCTCCCTGGCTTGGTTGCTCCCTGGCGGGTAGTGACAACCAGGAACGGAAGGAAACTGGGCGGTGATGGTGGAGGAGGAGGAAGAGGAAAAGAAGAGGAGGAGGATAGGCTTCCATCGGGTGGCAGCTAGGGGTTGTTGAGGCCCTTCAGAACCCCTTACAACACCTTGAACGCCTTCCACAAATTTCCGGAGTCCGTGTGTTTGTTGTGAACGCGTGTCCCCCCCCAACACACACACCGCGATTTGCTTTAATCGAGACCATTAGTCGTGACCCATTAGCCCGCACCGATGATGTTACCGGCCCAGATCTATCCCGCCGTATGTTCCGCCACTCCTCCTTGTTTTTGCGTCAGCGTTCATTTTAATGGCATACCTGTCTGAATGGCAGTTTGTCTGTCTGTCTGTCTGTCTGTCTGCATGTGCGCACGCAGATCGCGGAGCGGATCAACGCATTGGCCCGCGGCAAGCCAAACAACACGGCAGGTCCAGAGGAGGAGGTGGTCATCTCCGGCAGCGGCCAGCTGCGATGAAAAACACCCCCATATGCCATCAAGGCCCCCTTACACCCCCCCCCCACCGGCGTGTCCCTCCCAAAGGATGGAGAGGGAAAAAGAGGAGGATGAAGAGACACTATCCCATCCTTCGGAACGCAAAGCGGGTCCAGGGGGCCCTGACCAGGACGTGTATTTGAGCCTGCATGCTCTCGGCTCTCGGTGGGATGAACCGGAAGGAAGGAAGGAAAGGGGGGAAAGGTAGCGGCGGCGGGCCGTGGTGGAGGCCCAGCTGCGGCAGCCTTGGCAAGTTGATTGAGAAGGGGGATGGGATACTGGCGCCGGACGTGATGGCATGGGGGCCCCGCTGGGACGCCTCATGTCACCCAGGTGTCGTCTGAGGACCATGTGGGACATAGGGCCGACAAACAGGGGGCGACCGTAGGGGGAGGAGGACGCACAGCTGCATGTACTGGCAGATAGCGGGGCGGGAGGGGGGACGGGAGACGCATAACAGACACTGTGTTTGCCGAGGGCCTGGAAGGGGACTGACACTGACAAGGGAATGGTCTGACGCTGTGGACGGTGTCTGTCTGTTTGTCTGTCGCTGCGGCAGTAGTAAGCAGTTCCCAACCGCATTAAGTAGGTGCCGTACCGTACGTATAGATATAACTGGTATTCATGCGGTTCACAGCAGCAGCACGATGTGCAACCCGCGAGCATGACGACTTGTCTTGAGTGCTCGCGGAAGAGCGCAATGATGAAGATGAAGATGGGCGGGTGGGTTCCAGAAGCATAGCGCAGGCGGTGGCAGCGAGCTTTTTACTTTACAGAGGTGGTGGTTAATTAGTTGGCTGCTATGTTATAGTTTAACGGCATAAGTCCTCCCTCTCTGCGGAAACGCGGTCTACATGACTTCAAAAATTGTAGCAAAGTAGTAGCAGCTGCTACAGCTGCTGCTGCCTCTAGTTTGCGGGCGGGCGGGCATGGCCCTGGCGCGGTGGGCCTCGTGTCGCCGCCACCGCCGCGGCCGAGTCTCATCGTCCACTTCCGCGACCCGCCAGGCGGCATTTGCTCTGCGCCGTGGCGTGGCGTGGCGCCGCCAGTATTGGCTTGGAGAATAGAATTTTCGAGCTTTGATTGACATTATAGGCGTCTCTGCTATATACTGTGGTTGGGTATACGTACCTTTCTCCTTGTGGGGGGAAGGGGGGCCCTTGGGGGTTGTCCTGGTGTGCAATACTTTCTTGTGGCAATGAAGATAGAGGGGATGTTATCGTGCTGCTGCGTTGCAGTGTGGCTGATAGTTTGTATATATAGGTGTGGCCTCGGTATTGTGGCGGTGTGGGATGACTAGTGAGCGAGATTATTTTATGACCAGCGGAGCAGATAAAAGATTAACAGAAACGGTTTACGAGTTGGAGGAGGACGGCGGCTGTGTGAAACTTCGGACTTGTATGTGGTCGTGTGTGGGCGGAGAGGGAGGTTGGACTCCCGCGTCGTTTGCACGGATCATGGCTGCTGCCGTACTGCCTCGAACACTGCTACCGTGCATTTGAATTTTTGTGTTCATACCCGCTGCTTAAGGTTTCGTTGTTTTTGAACTGTCGCTGCCTTGGATGGGTGCTGTCAGTGCATTCATTGGTGCGTGTGGTGTAATGATAACGGCGAAGCCTGTTGTTAGGTATCGTACGTTTCCCCTGGTTCCGCTCGCCGTGGTGGTTTCGGAGGTAACGGCGGGTTACCTTATAGGGCGGTTCCCTTGGTTGCGGGTGCGGTGTGTGGAGAGCATGGGGAGAGATGTGTATGGGACAGCTGGGCGGAAGACGTGACGAGTTCTTGTTGGAGCTCCCTGCTCAGCTCACTGTTGTATGTATATACGTATGTATGTATGTATGTGTGCATGCATGCAGCTGCCGCCGATACGCCGCTGGCTCTATGCCGCCATGTCACACAGGCATGCCACAAAATACGGATTTGGGAGGCTCTCGGCCTCCGGCCCTGACCTGCCTGCGCACTCTGCTCTGTCTGTCAAGGATGTTGGTAACTAAACGCGCGACGGGGCAGAGCCACGATCGTGAAGACGTTATAGCCACAGGGTACCGGTTCCTGGGTTGGACTGCCAGAGTCCTCAGCAGACCAGGTCCCAACCCTCGAGACTAAAAGCTAGACTTCGTGCACAAATTTTAACCGTCTTAACCGTCATTACTACCCTTTAAGAGGGCAAATCGTGCTAGGAGTCTCATCTATAAAATCCTAAGCAACACGAGGTCCGTCCCGTCTGGCTCGTCGTCAAGACCGCGTGGCTCTCTTACCTCTTTTCACCCCTCTTTCCATTTCCCGCCACAGCCACCTCCCTCTCTCCTCCCTCTCGTTCTCCGCGCGCAAGGACAGATCAGGCTCACGGAGCAGCAACGTTATACCCGTGGGGGCTGTTATAATTGAAGACGAAGACACTCTCTTTCCCGCCCTGATACAGCAACCGTAGCAAGGGGGACTACTAAGGGGCACTACACACGCACAGCCACTGCTATTAAGTTCTTGCTAGACGCGCCATCGAGGTCATCCCCGTGCGCTCGCTACTTGACCCTGAAAGGGCGTCCGACCTACAACTACCACACACACGTCTCCGTCATACATGGCATGCCTGCAGCGCCTGTGACAGGAGTCTCCCTCAACTATAATGCTCAAGCTATTAGTCCCCGTGCCCTCCCCGCTCTCACGGATATCAAATCCGTCATGCTGCTGACCTTGCAGCACTAAGTCAAAATGCCATGCTCAAACCCCGCACATCACAACGCCGGCGGGTGGGAACGTCCCCTCAAAAGCTCTGCCCCCCAAGCACCGTGTCGCGTCACATCCCAATGGGGCTGACATATTTTACTTGTCTTGTGCCGACCAGGAAAGGGCATATAACAGACCGCCAGGGCTTTCACTTAGGGGGATGAAAGCCCTAGTCAGCGGCCCCATACAACCAAATATCTTCTCCACCATACCACCTCAGCCGCTGGGTCCCCTCACAGCTAAATATGAATCACGTGCTGTTCTGTCGCATCAAAGCTCCTCCATACTGTTAGTTCTAAACTACCACCGCAGCAGCAGTTGCAGACGCACGGCACATCTCCACGACGCCATGAATCCGGGGTGTCCGCCCCCCGTGCCAACGTGAAGACTCGGACCCTCCGCCTATCGCATCCTTGCCGCGCCGCCAGAGGCACAGACCCTGCCCTCATCCCTCACCCCTTGCCCCCACCTGACGACGACAGCTCCACGTCCTGGCTCCCCTGCGGCCCCACAGCTCCCGACCCAGGCCCCGCGTCCCCCACCGACTTAAGCACGGAAGTGATAGCCCGCTTACTAAGCACGTAGCCGTACACTATCGTCACGCAGAGCAGCGCCATATATATGGATGAGCTCACGAGCATATGTATGCGACTGCCGTCGCTGTCGCTATCGCCGCCATCGCCACCGGGGTTGGCGCGGCGGTACCTGTATTGCGGCACCAGCTTGCCGCGGGCGAGCTCTGCCACGACGCTCGTTGAGAGTGTGCCTGTTCGTACATGCACGGATTCAAGGATACGGACGCCTGTTTTACGGCAGTGGTTCGGCGATTGCTTTGACTCGGAAGTGGGTTCAGGAACAATTTCACGTGCAGGGTGAGTGCCCCCATGCAGCGGCCACCAATGCGGTTCCTAGCACGCACAAAGCACCGGGAAAGGAAGTGGCGCTTACCTAAATATACATAGAGGCAGGTCCACGGGATGATGGCGGCAGCGGAGGAGAGCGAGTAGGCAAAGAAGGAGATGGGCGTGAGCGCGGCAGCGTAGTTGAGGATGTTGTACGGCAGGATGGGTGACAGACGCAGCAGACACATGAGCTTCCAGCCCTCCTTCTTGATGGCCGCCTCCTGGGACCCGACACGGCAGGAAGGGAAGGGAAGGGAAGCGAAGTAGAGCGGAACGACTGTCTGAACAATTTGCAGGAATTGGCGACCTCTACTGCGTCTTGGGTTACCGCGTGTGTCTGTCTGTGTGTGTCTGTCTGTGTGTGTCTGTCTGTGTGTGTCTGTCTGTGTGTGTCTGTCTGTGTGTGTCTGTCTGTGTGTGTCTGTCTGTCTGTGTGTGTCTGTCTGTGTGTGTCTGTCTGTGTGTGTCTGTCTGTGTGTGTCTGTCTGTGTGTGTCTGTCTGTGTGTGTCTGCAAGTACTCACAGCAAGTACTCTACTCCGAAATTCACTATTACTACTACTACCACTTCAAAGTACTTCCTTATTACAACAATCTTCACCTCTTCCACAATCATAACTGCCACCGCACGGACCAAAAGACGCAAGCGCAGGAACTCCCCTTTGCTAAAGGGGGCCTTATTAATCAACACCAACACGCACGCTGTGCGTTTCACACACATAAACACATCCACTCGCGACTCTAGTCCGTCATGACATGACAATACAGAGACAGATTTTTTGCACGCACATACATACGCACACACACTCACTATTTGCGGGAAGTTGGGGACCCGCTGCACCAGGTAGGCCTTGACAGACGACCGGAATAGGTACCGCCCCAGCAGGAAGGCCAGCGACTGCCCCACGGCTGACGCGAACCACGACACCACGAGCCCCGCGTACAGGCCGTACAGCGCACCCGTGATGGCCTGTACAGCATGATGTACGACAAACGGAGTGGAGGGTGCGCGACGGGTCAGGGGCCGGTAGTGGTGGTGATGGTGATGGCAATGGTGCACAGATTTGAAGGTGCTGCACAGGTTTTTGCTTCTTTTTTTTCTGGAGAGCAGCCGAGCCGTCGTCTGTTTATGCTGATGCCGATGGCGATGCAGTTGGTCGTTGGTCATAACGGACATAACTGCCGCTGGCAGCTACTTTGCTGGCCGCCGCTCTGCGATAACAGCTAGCGAACAGCTAGCTGACTGCTTATTCGTTCCTTCCACGCCTCCATCTCCTCCTGCCCTTCCGCGAATGGATTGATGGTGGGTACAACCTCGCTCCCATTGCATCGACACGTCGCCCCGGCGGCCATGCCTCTCCGTTCCATTCCCCGATACCTCAGATCCCGTAGATGTGGTGCCGCAATCCAAGTTGCCGCAAATGGGCCTTACAGATTACAGAGGACTTACAAAACCCCCACCCCAGGCCCGAGGTTTGGACCAAGAAGGGGACACAATCTTTATGGTTCCCCATCGCCAAGGCAGCTATCGCGTCAGTCACGTCTTGCGTTACCGGCGAGCACGCGAGTGCTAGCTGGCTGGCCCGCGTGTTGTCGCGTCGTGCCCGCCCGGTTCCTTCCGAAGCTTCTTACCTGGAGCAGCATGGCCGGGAAGAGCAGCACCACCGCGGAGATGTGGAACAGCACGAAGACGTGCAGGGAGCCCAGCGGGTTGGCCTGGGTGGGGAGATAGTGGGGTGTGGTGGGTGGGTGGGTGCTAGTGGGGTGTGGTGGGTGGGTTGTAGTGGGTGGATTAGTCTGGGTGGGATAGCCTGGGTGGGTGAGCGAGCAGGTGGATAGCCATCCCGAGGACGCAGTCGGGTCCAGGGCAGGATCGGATCGGTGCAGTCGGGCCATTGCACAGTTTTAATCTCTGTATGGCCGCCGCTACTGCCGCCGCCACCCCAACCGCTGCAGCAGGCAGAAGGACGCTAACCAAGGTCTCGGCACGACGTAAGCCAATGCCAGTATGGCTGAGAAGCTAAGGAAACGTACACACTAAACTGTCCTACACGGAAAGCGGAGTTCGCTTCATCACTCAACCGCCACAAGAGACGTGAAAAACCGTGACCGGAACCACCAAGTGACTGGCCCCAAATTGAGAGGCAGTCCGGAGGTGTTGCCTCTTGAAGCTGTGGATAACCCCGTGCAGAGCCCTGGTGCTGCATGATCTGGTTGCCTCGTCATTTCCATGCGACCACAACGGAGAGGAAATACACACCCAACCTGCCTAGGATACTGCGCTGTACGCGCACCACAGCCGGCTCTGTGCAATGCGGGGAACGCACCGCCCCACGGTTGTGCACGAAGAGCAATCGATGAAAGGTGTCGTACAGATTGTACGGCTGACAGCGGACTGGGTGACGCTGCAAAGTGTGTAATCTTGATTCATTTCCCCTATTCGGAGGCCTAATGAGGAGGTTAGTTAAGCCATAGTGCGCGCGCGTGCGGGGTGGGGGGGCGAGGGGGAAAGACGAACCACGAACGAATGAAGCCGCGCGCCCAGGCAAGAGTGTGTGTGGTGGTAGAAAAGAAGTGTCTCCAGAAACCTCCGCCGTTCGTGGCCTGGGTTTCATGCTCATGCACGACATCTCTTCTATGCCGTCGTGTAATTCGCCGCCATAGACTGCCAGGCGAGCCAAAGCCGGCGCTGCTGCTGTTGCTGCAGTTGTGGACTTCCCCCCAACGATGGGACATCACGGTTGATCCTCCGCTTTGGCCCGTGCGCACGCCCGCACGAGCAGCTTGTAAAGCTCGACGTAAACACCTCCTTTACCCGACGGATCGTATGCCTTCTTACCGCCTTGTGAGTTGCGCAAGTGGGGTCTGGAACGTTAGATATAGGTTGGTTGTGCGCGTAGGACTGGTGTATGATAGGCCCGCCCAGGCCCTCGCACCTGTATTTTGAGCACGAAGTGCGCCAGCTCGCCGCTGTGCACGTACTTATAGCTGAGCAGGGAAAGTCCAGCGAATACGAGCAGAGCCAGCAGTCTGCCCCCTTGCATATCTGTGGTTCGTGCCCGCACGCCTCCCGAGGGTAGCCCAGGTGCGATGCTGACGCTGCTACTGCTGCCTGCTGCGGCGTCTGTCCCGCCATTTGCGGACAGCGCCGACGATGAGCGTGAGGCTAATATTTGTGCGGTTTCGCTGGAGGAAGCTGTGGTTGTGCTTGTCTCAGCGCGCGAGACCATCAAAGGGCTAGTGCAAAGGTGTGCGCCGTCGCCCCTTGCCTTGGGAGTTCCGCTGCCATCAAAAGCTAAGCAGCTCCCCTGGTGATTCAGGTCCAATCTAGCCGATTTGCACCATACGCGCTTCAATTTGTAAGAGTTAAGAATTGAACTTCAATTATGCATCAACAATCCGTTGTTTGCGAGGAAGTACAGTAAAACAATAATACATGACTGTGCTTTGGGAAGTCGTGGGAAAACGGAAACTTATGGATTGTGCTGCCAACGAATCGTCATGCATAAAATCCAGGGGGTTGGTGGCATTGTGCACGGTATATACATCGTAAATAGAAACTGCATATACGCATGGGAAACTGCTTTATGTGGATCAACAATTATTAAACTGTCCTACCCTCCCCACCCAGCCGTTGCACCTATTGCGGACACACAAATTAGACGCTGTTTACACTTTACCGAAAATCACGAACCCGAACATTCAGATGTATCATGGTATCTTGACCTGACAACTGGCAAAGCGCGACTTGCATGTAACTTTGACTTGCCACAGGCCAAATGTTGACGCCGTGCGCAGCTCCACCATAAAAACAGAGCTTTCGATCATGTACCTTGCAAGCTTTTAAACTGATGCGCGTCGTACTAATGAAGCGATCCGAAACGCTGCTGGGTGGGCGGACCCGGCCGTCTTGGCTCTGCCGAAACCTTCCGGTCGCATCCCCCGGTCGGATCCGAGACCCGCGTCCGCGCTCTCAGACACGCAGGGCAAACCTACTAGCTCAACTGGACACTCTTTCAGTATTGGTTAGGCCTACTGCATCTTCAGTTTGTCGTAATACGCATGCAACGCACTAACCTACCTCCAAAACACCATTCCAATCCACTCCTGCCTGACCTTCACAAACGTGTTATGCCTGGAATCGATACCGCTGGCGTAGTCTAACCCCTGAGCTACTTGCACGCGCACAGCTGACTCTTACCTCGCCTTGAAACAGGTCCTGTCTCCCGTTCCAACGCAGCTTCCAGCGCTCCCCTCCGCAGTCCTCCATAAGGAGCACTTGGCTGTGTAGCCTGCGCCAAAAGGCAGTCCAGCAGCACAATGCCGTTCGACCTGCTATCCGGAAAATTCATCCCAGAGAAGACAAACATATGGCGTGACTGCGTTGACGGCTACTACGACTGGGTCAAGGAGCACATCCTGGATGGTGCGCCGCTCAACGAGGCCGACCACTGCGGTGATCCCCCCCTCATCCTGGCCGCCGGAAACGGTACGATTCCCAATGCAGACCGGCAGGGCAGTAGCCAGTACAGACGTCTCCACACTAGGCGAAGCTTTTCTTTGGACTAGGAAAAGCCAATGGTTGGAAACCGGCGCGAGCGAGCGGCCCTCTGGGCTCGGACCTAGGGCAGGACTGCATGGCGATTTGGGTCGTTGGCACACATACCTTGTAACCACGTATCTCTCTGATAAACGAGACGGGACGCGGTCAACAGTTGCCTTCGCCATTTGGGTCAACCGATTGGGCTTATGTGGGCGCTCGATTGGGTTTTCGTGAAGACAGGTTTCTGGTCTCGCCCGTCCTCCTCTACACACTGCCGTTGGTGCGTCCTTCTTCATCATGGGCTTCGGGGAAGAAGGGCTTGAAGACTTGAAATGGCATCTGTGCGCTTTATCCGAGAAGCAATCCAGCAGTAACTTATTCGACTCCATAGTTGTGATTGAAGCAGTATGCACGGCGGAAATGAGATTTCCAGGGATGCCCCTCCACGACCCGTTTCTGAACCCTGCTGCAACGACCCTCCGCCGGCCACTTAATGTTTTTCAACATTCTTCATCCTCCGGGGTTTATGACGGCTCTCTCTGACTCCTTGCTGCCTAAGTTACCCGTACACACGCTCCTGTCGCCTTGCCACCTCCTCAACCTTCAGCTCGAACCAGAAACCCACAACACATAGGAACCCCGGACCTTTGGCCTCTTTCCCCCCCGGACTCTAACCCGCCAAACCCTCGCACTGTGCTCCTTCAAAACCGCGACAAATTCCTCCTAATTCACAATAGGTCACAAATCCTGCGTGAAGCTGCTCCTGGATGAGGGAGCTGACATTGAGCAGCGCAATGTGGTGAGACCGAGGGATCAATGGGACGTTCCCGCTTGTTCGCACACCGCCGTTGCTTTTCCGCGTCGCTTGCACCTGCATACACCTGCGTTCCTTGCGTACATCCCTGCCCACCCTGGCCCATCCCTCGTCCCGGCCTGGCCCGTTGTTCGTTTCCCTAGATGAAAGAAACCGCCCTCATCCGCGCCTCCCACAACGGGCACCTGCACACGGTTCGCTATCTAATTGAGAGGGGCGCCCGTGTGGATGCCGTGGACTTGGTAGGTTGGTGGCTGTTTGGCTTGGTTTATGGGTGACCAGCTACGTGGGAGGGTGTGTGAATGCGTGCGTGTAATTGACTGACCGGGTCGCTGACCCTCGCGGGTCGGTGGGCTTGGTTGGGATTGGGTGGGACTGCTGTGGACCTATGGACCGCCTCCGTGCTGGTTTGGCTCCCCATGACCCCAAGCCGCCGCGTCGATATAAACCCTTGCTGTTACATCCCACATTATTCGGCGTCTCCATGACATAACCATGCACTCCACGACACGCACAGACAGGCACCAAACAGGGCATTGTAACCCGCCTGGCTTTACCTCTTGCCAACCCGCGCCTGCGCCTGTGCCGTGTTACGTGTGCACGTGTGAACATGTGCCTCCCCCGCGTCCTCGCATCCGCGCCATAACCCCGTTCGGCTCACCCAACACGTGGTATTGTTACATGCTACACGCCACAGGGCGACAACACCGCTCTGCATTGGGCCGCCATGCGAGGTCACGTAGAGGTGGTGCGGGCGCTCCTGCTCACCGGGGCCGACCGGCAAGCTATTAACGGCCAGGGCCGCACACCCCTGGACCTGTGCCAGCCCCAGTGGTCGACGGCCTATAAGTTCGTGCGTACGGAGCTTACCCGCTGAGGTACCGCAGAGGCCGCGCATCAGGGGCGCTGAACGACGCCACGGGGGTTTTTGAAGCTAGGGGAGCTACGAAGATGCGGTTTTTTGAATTCAGAGCTCGAAATGAAGTCGCGCCTTTGTTGACTATGTGGAAGTTGGCTGTTGATTCGTAGCTGGCGGGGTTGCTGGGTGGGTGAGTGGTTAAGGGTTGGGGGCGGTCGGCGGGGGTTATGGGGACCTAGAGAATCAGAACCGCGGTTGTGGAGTGGTGCGTGGACCTTTGCTTGGCAGAGTCCGAGATTAAATATATAATCGTCCACGTGGCCCACGGCTTTAGTGGACGGCCCCCGTACTCGTGCGGAGCTTATAAATCTTGTAAATCTTTAAGCCCAGTTGGACATCAGCAGGCTTCCGCGATTGCGAGTGGGAGGATGGGGAGTGAGTGCGTGCGGCAAAGTTTCACGCGCGTGCAGGCAGTGACCGGTGCTTGGGAGGTTTGCGCGTAGGCTGCTGACTGTGTAGGGAAGTTGGATGCGGATTCGAAAGCTACAGGGTTTTAAAAGGCGGCGCGGCGAGGACGTACATGTTTCTTTTATGTTCAGGTAACCTTTGCGGCATATGACATAGTCTGGATATGCGCTCAGGAACGTGAGCGACAGGCTAATTGCAAACCAATGTCAGCGCGAAGATGTTTATCCACACTGGGCGGCCAGCGGTTCGCAAACCTCGGTGGGGAACGAAGCGGGAATGGCAAAGCAAGTTTCATGCGCGGTGGAGTCCGCACTACCGATGCCCTAAAATAGGGACTCAGAGACGTTTACGTTTACTTTTACAAGCTTCAAGCTTGTACGGTCCAGACGAGCCAAAAGGCTCATGAACCGCCAAACTGGAAACAGGAACTCAAAAAAGAGAAATGCCAATACCCAACAATAACAGATTGATTAATCTTCAACGTACTGCAACCTGCATCTTCTAATGTCGTCCAGGACGCGCGCTAACCCGCGTTGATCCTTGACGCCCATAATCTCGATCATGCGGTCCCCAGGAGTAACCCCCAGGTCCCAAAGCTTCAAACGGATATTCGCATACGCAGGACAATCTAGCAGCACGTGACATTCATCTTCAACAGCTTGCCGGTTCCCACAGACCCGGCACCACCGGGCAGACCGTTCCCTACCGTGCGGTCGATTAACCGCCAAAGGCCAAACACACATCCTGAAACGCATCAGCGTGACGTGCTGTTTTGGCGAGATATAGGCGCTGCCATGCTTGGGCAAACCCATCCAATGCTTATAGCGGCACATCTTTACCCCTGGTTGCCTATTATCTGAAACAAACAAAGCTGGATCCACTGTTAACCGCTCAGAGAGTATGTTTCCAAATTTGTCAGCAGTAGTTTCGTTAGTTAAAATGTCAGCTGCAAACGGTGCGGCCTAACGGCTGTCGAGGACTTGCGCACACCGGAGGGCACGTGGCAAGGCAGATTAGCTCCTGCTACGAGTCTATTGCCATTGCCATTTCTGTTACAGATATTGGCTGTGCTCTTACGGCCTGATCGATGAAAAGGCCGCACCGAACCAAAAGGAAAAGAAATAATGTAGTAGAGCGAAAAGGGCGGGCGACGCGGCCTCCAGGGTGGGAGGGCGGGGCGCGTGCTGAACAACAAAAACAAGATACAGAAAACCTGCAACACGCGCTATTTATGCAAAAGACGATCCTGAGGACACGGATCGCCGGCCTCAAGTCGTACCACTTAAAACGGCCGTAAGGCCCTACGCCTTAGCTAACCCGGCTCAAGCTTCGCATAGCCCGCATTAGCTCCTGCTACGAGTCTATTGCCAAAAGGAAAGACACCCCCTCTCAGCGGTTAAAGTACTGACCCATCACCGGCGCGACACGCCGGGCCGCGAGAGGGCCAAAGAAGGCGACCGCACGAGGGCAGCCACGGACCCCCAAATCGAGGTAGTTCTCCCGCAACGCCGACGAGCCTGCGGCCCAGCCACCAAATGCTTCGATGATATCCAGTGGCACTCCCGCCGCACGGGCGGCCGAGGCACCACCCCGCCGCAAACTATAAAGGGTGTGGACGGAACGAAGGCCCTCCAGGCCACACTGCGCCAAAACACGATCGAACCAACGCTCGGCCCCCTGAGTCGTCTGGCGCTCCGGCCATAAACGCGCAGG